TCCTTAATTTAAAAGCAAGTCAGTGGATTATTTTACATTTTTCTCTTTGTAGCCCTTTATTGATTTTGGCCATCTCTAATTCAAGGGCTGTCCAGAGGAGAAATGTTGCCCATCTCATCTATGGCCATTCAAGACTATCTTGAGTATCTGTAGGCCTGTTCTGTTTTAGTTGTTCCAAGAGTTTACTCTGGCATAGAGTGAAGGCGGCCAATCCAGCACTAAAAGATCAACTGCAAAGTTAGTTTGACTTTTAGATATAGTACTTTAGCTTTTGAGGCGTCCTTAGATGCCATTTAGTCTTAAAGAGCAGAAAACTCTGACCCAGAGAGGTCATGCAATTGCTCTAAGCCATGAGGCTGGTAAATGACAGAGCTAGGTCTGGAATCTGGATTTAGAGAAATTTATACAATGGAAGAGTGGTACTTATTTATATATTGGAATGCTCTACTAGGCTTGGGAAGAAAAGAATTCTCTCTTGCTAAATGTCAGGAATAATAAAGTAAGAAATAATAAAGTCCCTTAAAAACATTTAAAAACAGTTAGCATTTATTTTTTTAATCCTCACCTGAGGATTAAAAAATCCTCCATTTATTTTCAGACAGAGTGGGAGGGAGAGAGAGAGAGAAACATTGATATGAGAGAGATACATCAATTGGTTGCCTCCCGCATGACCCAGACCAGGGCCAGGGACTGAACCACAACCGAGGTACATGCCCTTGACCAGAATCAAGCCTGTGACTCTTTGGTCAATGGGCTGACGCTTTAACCGCCGAGCCAAACCGGCCAGGGCAGCATTCATTTTTTAAACGATACTGGGGTTGTGTCATTTGCATCTTTCTGATTCTTCCTTTGTGAGTTATGCTATCTCTGTGCCTCTGGCGAGGTATTAATGTTCTTCAAAACCTGCTTGAGCTCTTTGAGTAAAAAAAGATACAACCTTTCATATTTAAAAAATCCCTTAAAAATGTTTAAAAACTGTTGGTTATATGAATACAGGATCCTAAATATTGGAAAAGACAATCTGTCTGGCACATGCTTGACATCAGAATGTATATGTGTATATTTGTACAAATCTCTGATTTGTTTGAACAATCCTTGATCTTACTTCTTTTAATATTTTTCTTCTTCCCCATATTATAGGAAAGGGCTCTTAAAATTTGATTTTTAGTAGTGTTTTTTTGATACAACATTTTATCATTAAGACTCAAAATAAATAGCTTTTCAAAGGCAGTATAGTTTAGGATAGCAGTTCCTATTAATATTTCCCTTTCATCCGACTAGTGGCAGCCTCTTCAGCTTGTTTGCTATGAGAAGTGCTGGGGGAATTTTGTCAAGTTAGTTGTCACACAGGGCATAGTGACAGAGCTGATCAAGCAAGAATTAGGACGAGGTCATTTTTCTAATGATATTATAGAAGATAATCCGAAGACTGTTGATATTTTTTCTTGATTAATGTATTGAAAAAGATAAATTCCGAGGACATTGTAAATGACTAAAAGAAAGGACATTGGCACCACAATTATAACTGTTTTAATAGAGTGATTCATTTTGAAATCAGCCTTGAATGAACAGAGGCAGTGGGAGTATCCAGTATAGTCTAGAAAGTCAAATAAACAGGAAATATTTGATGGGTATGACATGCAAGGAAATTTCACAAAAATGGGATTACGTGCAAGTTTGTTCTATAAGAATTAGATGTTCCTTAGTGTGTCACCAAGGTCATAGGCTCAGTTGTTCTGTAATATGCCAAAATAATTTTTCAGAAATAAAATAATGTGTTTGAGATACATATATACACAAAAAGTTCAGAGACCCTCCATTACAGATTTATCCTTAGATGTGATGCTCTCTAATTGAATGCTTGATATCTTCTTTCTCTCTGTTCGTTGTTAGTTTATAAGTAGTTTTTTAAAAAAATATTTTATTTTAGAACTAGAAAACATTTGGAAAGAAAAAAAAAAATGAAAGAACACAAAACATGTATGCAATATTTTTACTCCATGAACTCAAATCTTCACTGTTCACCAAACCCCAAGATAAAAATTCCTCCTCTAAAAAGCTATTCAGAGACTTCCAGTCAAGATGGCTGCGTAGGTAAACACAGTATCGCATCCTCCCACAACCACATCAAAGTCACAACTAAACTACAGAACAACTATCATTCAAAACCACCTGAAATCAAGCTGAATGGAAGTCCTACAACTACGGAATTAAAGAGGAATTAAAGCCCTGGCCGGTTTTGCTCAGTGGTTAGAGCGTCAGCCTGCGCTGGTCCACAGAGACCCGGGTTCGGTTTCCGCTAAGGGCATGTACCTTGGCTGCAGTTTGTCCCCGGCCCTGGTTGGGTCGTGTGGGTGGTGGCCGCTCGATGTGTCCCTTTCACATCGATGTTTCTCTCTCTTCCTCTCTCTCCTTCCCGCTCTATCTGAGTAAAAAATGGAAAAATGTCCTCGGGTGAGGATAAAAAAAATAAAAAGAGGAATTAAAGAAGTAGCCACATCCAGACTGGTAGGAGCGGTGGAGGCGGACGGGCTGGTCCCACACCCAAGTGTGGCGTATAAAAATCAGAAGGACACCTCAGCTGGGAATGTCCTCCCTGAGGACTGAGGGGTCCCCGTCCCACACCAGGCGCCCCGCTCAGGGTTCCAGTGCCAGGAAGAGAAGTCCCCATAACTACTGGCTGGAAAAACCAGCGGGAACTGAGGCTCAGGGAAGCTGAGGCAGCTGGAGCCTCAGGCAGCTCCTTTTAAAGGGCCCGTGCACGGACTTATCGGACTCACTCCCTCTAATCTTGGAGGGGAGGCAGCTCGAGGGGCACCAGAGACATACAGGGAAGAACTGAGCTGTTTGGCACTGGAGCGAGGGCTGGAGAGGGGGCTTTCTCTGGGACAAATGTGCTGTCAGAGGCCTTTGTTCCTTTGGTGAGCGCTTCCATGGGGCGGCAGTTGCCATATCTGGGACTCCAGCAACCTGGCTCACACTGTAGCCCCGCCCTGCTGACTCCCTGAGGCTCGGCCCCACCCAACTTTCAGGCCCACCCAAGCTGTTGCCACTTGCTTAACCATAGGATTGGCCTGTCTTGGATCCTGCTATAGGGTTTCCTAAATTCTTTCAAACAAGCAGCATCTGGTCTCAGCGAGCCCCATACCTCTCATTAAGTAATACACAGAAACAAACACAGGGAGGCAGCCCAAATGAGAAGACAAAGAAACAGGTCCCAAATGAAAGAACAGAACAAAACCCCAGGAAAAGAACTAAGGGAAATGGAGATAAGCAACCTAACAGATGCTGAGTTCAAAATACTGCTTATATGGATGCTCCATGAACTTAGTGAGGGCCTCAAGAGCATAAAAAAGGACCAATCTGAAATGATGGATGCAGTCAGAAATGAAGGAGGCACTAACTGAAATAAAGAATAATCTACACAGATTCAATAGTAGAGAAGGTAAAGCCAAGAAGCAAACCATCAATTTGGAATATAAGGAAGCAAAAAACACCCAATCAGAACAGCAAAAAAGAGAAAAGAATCCAAAAAAGATGAGGATAGTGTAAGGAGCCTCTGGGACAACTTCAAGCACGCCAACATTCGCATCTTGGGGGTGCCAGAAGGAGAAGAGTGAGAACAAGAAATTGAAAACCTCTTTGAAACAATAATGGCAGAAAACGTTCCTAACTTGGTGAAGGAAACAGACATACAAGTCCAGGAAGCACAGAGAGTCCCAAACAAGATGAACCCCAAGAGGCCCACACCAAGACACATCATCATCAAAATGCAAAAGGTTCAAGACAGAGAGAATCTTAAAAGCTGCAAGAGAAAGGCAGCTAGTTACCTACAAGGGAGTTCCCATAAGGCTGTCAGCTGATTTCTCAAAAGAAACTTTGCAGGCCAGAAGGGAGTGGCAAGAAATATTCAGAGTGATGAAAAGCAAGAACCTACAACCAAGATTACTCTATCCTGCAAAGCTGTCATTTAGAATCGATGGCCATATAAAGAGTTTCCCAGACAAGAAAAAGTTAAAGGAGTTCATCACCACCATACCGTTATTATATGAAATGATGAAGGGTCTTTTTCAAAAGAAAAAGATAAAATATATGAACAAACAAAATGGCAAGGAATACATATTTATTGACAATGGAATCTACAAACAAAATGAACAGGCAGAACAGAAACATCCTCATAGATACAGAGAACATTTTGTTGGTTGCCAGATGGGAGGGGGGTTGGGAATGGGTAAAAAATGTGAAGAGATTAAGAAGAACAAATTGGTTGCTAGACTGACAAACCTCAAAGAGAAGGGGGTTGGGGGGTGGGAGGAAATAAACCAAAGAACTTATATGCATAACCAATGGACACAGACAACAGTGGGAAAAGGTAGGAGGGGGGTGGGAGTGGGGAGGAGGGGGTCAATGGGGGAAAAATGAGGAACATCTGTAATACATTCAACAATAAAGATAAAAAAATAAAATAAAATAAAAATAAAAAGCTATTCAGCCACCAACAGTGATGTTGTTAATAGAGATATGGATCAATTTTACAAAAAAGGCCAGTGAACCCCATTAGAGCAAATCCTATTGCTGTTGCCATGGCAATCTTCTAGAATTCTTTTCTATCAGGTTTTGTGCATCTTTTAACCAGCCAAATTTACTCCTTCACAAATTCCTGTCTTGGCTCCACAAACTGCATTACCTGATTCATGGTGCCTGCTGACACCTCAGATGCTGGGGACACTTAGCAGTGGAGCAGATCTTCCAAGGCCCACTGGAACCAGAAACCGGGTTGCTGGCCTACAGCCCACCCACCGCTCCTTTCGTTGGTCCTTTGCGCCTATAAGTAGTTATTTTATTAGGAAACATCATTCTCAAGTTCTTTCTCACATTGTTGCATGTGTGAACCAGTGGAAGGAGACCTACTGGGGCTCATTGATAGGAACACAGAGGAAATAATGTTAATTACATTCAGAAGTGGGTAGCCCTGCCAGTTACTCTTCTTTGTTTTACAGAGATGAACGGAATCAGTCCATCATTGTAAGTGGAGAGTCTGGGGCAGGAAAAACAGTCTCCGCTAAGTATGCCATGCGATACTTTGCAACTGTAAGTGGTTCTGCCAGTGAAGCCAATGTTGAGGAAAAGGTCTTGGCCTCCAACCCCATCATGGAGGTAAGATAGCAGCAGCCTTGTCTTCTTACTATATTCTCTTGTTAAGAAACGTGTAAAAAAGAAAAATTGCTTGATACAATACATGTGAGAAAGTCTGGGCTCTCCCATCCACTAAAAGTAGGGAAATACTTCTTCACATATTAGCAAGAGATCTAGAAACAGTAAATATTCAGGAAGGTAAATGTTTTGAGTCAAGTTCAGCTATAGAGGAATCTACTTTATTTCATAATCCTGCATTTTAAACCTTGCATTGAATCATTGCCTTTAAATAGCTGGCAGTGGTACTTCATTTCCTGAAGTTTCTTTCTCTCAGTGAATTGACTCAAGGCTATTGCTCCTTGTTCTAGAAGTATAAGTTACTAATTTTCTCTCAATCCTGGGTTCTTATTTAAACTCCTTCCAAAGCATAGGATTCACTGTGTTCAAGCATGAAGGAGTTTCATTATTCCTTTGCCCACATTTCATTTTCTGTACTTAGTCCAATTTTAATTTTTTTCCAGATTTGAACTATAAACTTAAATCACGATCTTGCAAACATTTTTCTTCTTATTTCTGTCATGCGTATCACCTAATTTTAGGTTAGAAAAAGAAATTCAATAGCTATAAATTCTCAAGAAAGGGAGAACTATGAAAGGCTGTCCTGTTTGAAGTGGAATATGTTTATCAAATAGAAATGCTTATGCCAAAGAAAATGGACCTATTTTTGTGAGAATTTGAGTATTTTAGGATTTGTAACTAGAGAATTATTTGTCTAGTATGATTCTAGGAAAGTCATATTTTTGTAAGTAGTCCCATTAAATAGAGAAAATAAGTCTTAAGTGGAGAGAAATTAGTTTGCAGAAATAAACCTTTCTTATTAAAAATTCAAATCAGCATATTTTATTCTTGTTTTTTCCTTTGTCAAGCCTTATTTATCACCCACACACAGATGGAGTTTAGAACTGGCCTGGTGCACCCGTGGTACAAGTGGTTTTTGCAATAATCAGTCCAGAGGTAATTGTGCCTGGTTTGCAGTGCTATGTGTGACACTTTAGAACAGAATGCTGTGACTCCTTGCCTATAGGGCTGCCTCCTAGAGCAGTAGGACTTCTGTTCTTGGCATTAAGAGGACAAGATATGCTGGGGAAGTGAAGAGGCCTCCTGGGATGGGTGCACTGTGCACTGGAAAAAGAACTGGAAAAGTTTTCTGAAATAGCTGGACAAGAGGAAACAGACATTTGTTCCAAAAGAGAATAGTAAAGATTTTTTTTTTTAATTCTCACCCGAGGACATTTTCCCATTTTTTGTTCAGATAGAGTGGGAGGGAAAGAGAGGAAGAGAGAGAGAGAGAAACATTGATGTGAAAGGGACACATCGAGTGGCTGCCATCCGCATGACCCATCCAGGGCCGGGGACAAACTTCAACCGAGGTATGCGCCCTTAGTGGGAACCAAACCTGGGTCTCTCTGGACCTCAGGCTGACGCTCTAACCGCTGAGCCAAACTGGCCAGGGCAAGAATAGTAAAGATTTTAAGCAACTGTTAAGATTTTGAAGAATTTAAGCTACAGTAGTGAATGCCACTAGTATTAATCTTGGGGAAATTCAGTCTGTAGAGCCATTTTTGGGATTTAGCTCAGGAAACAACAGGGCTTCACTTCCTACCATTATTTTGACTGTTTTTTGTTGTGACAATGAATTCTTGATATTTGACAATAGTTTAGGCCATTCTTAGTCCCTGAATGTTAGAGAATATGCCAAAATCTTCATTGTGATGGCATTAGGGAATCCCATCTTTTCTAGACGTGGACCATATAATAATGTAAGTCTGGAATGAACCTGCTAGAATATGTTAAATTGAATGAAATATTTTATAATCTTGCTATGTTCTCTTTCCAAAATTAGCTCCATTGGTTTTTCTACCACACAGATTTCAGTTGTGTTAGTAGGAGTGATATTAAAAATTTGGAATGGCCACAGAAACTTTTTATTTTTAATAAATCCTCATCCGAGTATGTTTTTTCATAGACGGGAGGGAGGGGGAGAGGGAGAGAGAAACATCAATGTGAGAGAGACATATCAATTGGTTTTCTCCCACACGACCCCAACCGGGGCTGGGGACTGCAATCCAGGTATGTTCCCTTGACTGGAATCAAACCTGAGACCCCCTTGTCGCTCCAACTGCTGAGTCAAAACAGCCAGGGCAAAACTACTTTTATTTTATTTTAGAGAAAGAAGGGAGAGGGAGAGAGAGATAGAAACATTGATGAGAGAGAATATCAATTGGCCGCCTCCTGCATGCCCCCCTCTGGGTATTTGGCCTACCACCTGGGCATGTGCCCTGACCGGGAATCGAACCAGTGACCTCTTGGTGCATGGGTTGATGTTCAACCACTGAGCCACACCAGTTGGGCAAGACTACTTTTTAATATGCATGCTGTTATAAGGAATTTTTTCTATTTTCTAGGATGAGCAAAAAAAAAACAAAACCAAATACATAAACGCACATGCACACACACACACACATAAAGCCATCAGTTATGCTTAGCTGTTTCCATCTATGTTATTGTTTAGTTTTTTTATAAGAATTTAGAGAAAGAAAAATTGGTAAAGAAAGAACTAATTTTTAACAACTACCCAATTTGAAAGATTAAAATGGAATATGATGCTGAAGAATGGTGACAAAAGTGTTTACAAGAATAAAAACAAACAAACACATAGATACAATATTGAATATGTGGCCCAGAAAATTTGTAGTTTTAAACTTGTCTCAAGACTATCTCTGTGTCAGAACCCTTTAGTGTGATGTCAAGAATGGCGAGTCTGGGTCTCTAGTGATCTACTGAAACTCCTCATTGGATAATGAGCATTCTTCATGGTTAACATCACAGCCCAGTAGCTAACTGGATTTGCACATTATCCTTTAAACAGCGATCTACTCATCTTCAGCATGGACTTCTTTGGAAAATACAAATGATGTACAAAGAAGTGATTTTTTTTTTTTTACTTTATTTTATTATGTTTTCTTTTTCTCCCTTTCTCCTGGAAATTTTTGTCCTAATGTGGGAACAGGGAAGATTCTTGGGGCACATTGGGCCTTTCTTAATTTTTCTTTTTCATCTTCGTAACTGTAATTAAAGAGCTTCATTTCCATTTAGTGAAGAAGAATAAATCACTCAACATTTTACTGAAATCAATAGTAAAATCAGACCACAAGTCTTCTCCTTTCCTTTAGCAATGTCTTGATGATTGAAATGAAGATAGCATTAAGGGAGGCTGTTGTATATACAGTACTAATAAGGCAGAGGAAACAATCAGGGGGAGTGGACAAAAGATACTGTTTATATATAGAACTTTCTTCCATATAGGTTCAAGGCTTCAAATTATATTTTCTTTTCTAAAAGGACCCTAGAGCTCATCTATCCTAGTCAATTTAGAGTTGGGGACACTAAAGCTCCTCAAAGGATTAAATGATGGCATGTTGGTAGTAGGGCCTAGTCTGATTCCCAGATCTTTAGACTTCTGTTTTGTTTGCTTCTTCTGCCTTTCTTTGCTCTATGTATAAATACCTTTTACTCAAAGACAAAGGGGTATGTTTCAACGCTTGCCCACTCACTTGTCTCTTCTCACTGAGTGTAGTATTGTTTGGGCAGGTTGGCCACTCGAACTTCCACTCTGAGTAGAGGAGAGAGAGGTGCCATATGGAAGGTGGGATAAGTAAGGGAAGGAAGGGAAGCTGTGGCTCACCTTTCTCCAACTTGCTTAGATGCTGGCAGGAAAGTACTTAGGATAGTGCCTGGTAAGCACTCGGTTACTGCAACTGCTGCTGCAGTGCTATTACATGTGGTAACCCTTCCTCTGCTCTTTGACAGAATATATGGTGTTGAAAGATAATTCTGCATTTATCATTAATTTTTTTTCCTAAACAAAATAAGAATAATGGGAATATATGTAGCCTTTTTCCTGTTCTTTTTATAACATCAATGGGGGAGCCCTGGCCGGGTGGCTCAGTTGGTTGGAGCATCCTCCCATACACCAAAAGGTGGTGGGTTTAATTCCCGGTCAGGGCACATACCCAGGTTGCAGGTTTGATCTCTGTTCAGGGTTTGTAGGGGAGTCAGCCGATCGATGTTGCACATGTGCGCTCTCTCCCCCTCTTCCTCTCCCTCTCCCTCTCCGCCCCTCTATCCCTCCCTCCTTCCCTCCCTAAGATTAATAAAAAAGCACCTTCTCGGGTAAGGATTAAAAAAAGAAAAGAAAAAAGAAGGAATATTTGAGTAAATATCTTTATTGTTAAATTATGTTAGGCTATATTAGATGACTTGTTATTTTGCTGGGAAGAAAGCTTTCAGTCATTCTTCCCATTAGAAATGTTAACCTTGCCCTGGCCAGTTTGATTCCCACTAAGGGCATGTACCTCTGTTGCAGTTCATCCCTGGCCCTGGTTGGGGTAGTGTGGGTGGCAACCCGGATGTGTCTCTTTCACATCCATGTTTCTCTCTCTTTCTTCCTCCTTCTCTCCCTCCTGCTCTATCTGAAGATAAATGCAAAAATGTCCTCGGGTGAGGATTAAAAAAAAATGTTAACCTGAAATATAGTAGTATTCTCATTGCCAAAACAAAATAGAGCAATACTTGCCCTGTATTTCAGAGAGCGAAAATACATTTTCTCTGATGGAGCAGGGAATCTAATATGTTCACTTTTGTGCCTATGTTACTGTTTTGATCACTTATATTTATATTTCTTTTTTTTTTTTAAACATTCCAGCACATTTTCACATCTTTCTCACTGCTGTGGTTTCAATATACTAATCTTGATATTCACAGGCTTTGGACAAGTGAAAGATATTAATCTTATGAAAGTATATTAAACATTTAATATATGCATTATATGAACACTTGCTTTTCTAACTATACCATGTTTTTGCTTTGCCTTGAAAGGAAAATGTATGTAGAAGCATGTTTCCTAAATCAGAAAGCAGTATATATGCTATTTTAATTTTTAAGATTATATTAAAAATTTAGAAAAAAGTTATATTTTCTGCATTCTGTCACAGATGTTTTACAACTTATATACAACTACCAAAATTCATAGTCAAATTTTACTGTCTCTGGTTTCTGAAAACTGTTTTGAATTGAGGGAGTAATTACTAATTCTCCAGAAATAACCAGTCCAACTGGACCTTCGTTGTCACAGGATAAGCTGCCGTAAACTTCTGGCTAAAGAGATCCTGAACACTAGAGCAACATTTTTAGGAGAATATTAATTTGGCTTATCCAGCTTATTTACATAGAACAGACTAAGTGTTTTTAAAGAATCAAAACCCTGATGTTTAATTAAGAGGGTTTGTGCCCTGGCAGCGCCCAGTGTCATTCATTCTGTTTCTTTGCTGGCATGAATGAACGTGTTCAGGTCCCACAGTTGTGTATGAGGACCTCCCAGCTGTGGTTCAGGTTTACTGTTTATGAAAATAATTTGTGTGAGACTAGCAAGGCAGATATGAACTACATATTAGTATGTATCTGTATGGTTGAGCAGTGAGCAAAACATACATTTGTGCCTGCAGAAGCAATATTGGTTCTTTTGGTCTTAAAATAATCAGTTTTAAAGGGTTGTGTTCTGTTCTGTCCTTTCCCTGAACTAGCTCTATAAATGGCATGTCATAAATTGCATTTCTAAAACATGGTTTGGCTTTGGGTGATGGGCACACAGTGCACTATTCAGATCTTGTATCATAGAAATGTACACTTGAAACCTATATGATCCTATTAACCAATGTCACCCCAATAAATTTATTTTTTAAAAATAATAAAATAAAATCTTATTTTTTTCCTTTTGCTTCTTAGTCAATTGGAAATGCTAAGACAACCAGGAATGATAATAGCAGCCGTTTTGGGAAGTATATTGAGATTGGTTTTGATAAGAGATATCGAATAATTGGTGCCAATATGAGAACTTACCTTTTAGAGAAATCCCGAGTGGTATTCCAGGTAAGCTGGGCAGGTACACATACATACTTATTGTTAGGTTGCCACATAATTCCAGAGCTCATGCTTGCTGGTTTGCATTTTATTTTCAGATAATTCACTCTTGAGTGAATTATAACAATATTAGTACAAACCACACTTGGACTGAAACATGCAAAATGATGTCTGTCAGAGGCAGGGGAATATCCATTACACTAATGGTCTTTGCGGCTGGGCACTGGTTTAGGTTTAATAGTTCCACTTTTTCCTGCAGATGCTTGTAGGATAAGCCTAGTTAAGAAGAGGTGCTATTAGTTTAGTCGTCTCTCTCATATATGCCAATTGATAGGAAAAACATTGGTTTATGCCTTCTAGGAGTTAAAAGTTTGAACTCAGTTCAAGGAAAAAAAAATATCCTTGTTCTCTTTCTTTCTTTCTTCTCCTCGCTTAGAATATGATATTATTTAGATAGAATAAAGAGGGTTAAAAAATCTTCACAACTCATTTGAATTACTGTCAAAGAATACACTCAAGTTTATATGTCTCTGCAGGATAGCCTTCACATAGCTGCTCCCTTTTTTATATATAAGTGTACTATAGATTTACAACATGGGCAAGCATGCATTTATATATTTACAAGCATACTAATGAAATATGTTCTTATCATTGGAAAATTCTCAGCAGAGGGCTCCTAGTGACCTACTGCATGTTGTGAGATCAGGGTTTCTGTAGCCCCTTTACTGGATACCCAATGCACTGAAGTTCAGATTACCCTGGCACTGCCATGTAGCAGCATCTACAATTTCCATTGCACAAGTCTATTACGGTTTTGAAAGTACCTGGGACATACTGAGAGTCATAAGGTTTGGCAGCTTACAGCTACCCTGGCTCTGACTTTGGGGATGTGCCTGATTTTTGGCCATCTAAAGTATAATACCTGATTTATATAGTAAAGCAATAGTTATTCTCCATTGTTTTAATATGTAGGTACACACAGAGCAATGTTAATATATATACATATATACTTGTGTAGGGTTTTTTTAAATTTTTTTTAGAGAGAGAGGAAAGGAGAGAGAGAGAAACATTGATGTGAGAGAGAAACATCAATGTATGTCCTCTACTGGGGGACATGTCCCCTACTGGGGATCGGGCCCACAACCCAGGCATGTGCCCTGACCGGAAATGGAACCAGGACCTCTCAGTTCATGGGGCGACACTCAATACACTGAGCCACACCAGCTGGGCAATAAACTTGTATAGATTTTTTAAAAATAATGTTTAGTAGCCAAAAGAAAGAATGGGGGAAACACATAGATCTAAGAGAAGATTGGGTTTAAATAGTACAGATTTGATGTTTAGGTAAACAATTCAAAGGTTAAGTGGGTATGGTGACCAGAGGCTAATAGGGCTTAAGACAGAATGCTAAGGCCTAACAATTCTAATTATTCCCTAATCCCCAGGGCTAAATAATATTGAGGATGTTTAGTATGTCAAAATGAGTCACATGGAGAATAGTTGATACTGTACAAAGGACCATAGGGTTTCTGTAGATTCACCTGCTTTTCTAGTTGTCCATGAGCCAAATTATCTGATCTTTTGCCTAATCATGCTTATGATCATTTGGTATATTGTTAATTTGGTCCGTGTCTTCTGTCCCTGTAATAGGTTTTCTTTACTCAACATTAGTCCCCTTTGGGCATCAAACCTGACCTTGGCCTTACTTGCACTATTTTTTAGTCAGCTGAATACACTGTAGAATTCAAGGATATGATAATAGAGTATAAGAATTCAATTTTGCATGAATATTAATACACTATTATTGCAACTGTATATTTAAAGTATATATGTGGAAAAGACTCAAGAAATACTAAGAAATTATGTTAGAATTGTACATGATTTATTTCCTATTTTGTAACATGCTTTTATTGATATTAAAAGAAATAAGCCAAAAAATAAAGAAGATGTAGTGCATTTGTGAATTTCTTGAAACAGCCACAGTAAATAGTCCAGTCTAAATTATGGCAAAGATAAGATATTCCTTGTCATTCAAGGTGTTAAAAAGACCATGAATCTAAGAGGTACGGTGAGAAAATATTGAGTATTCCAAAAAAATTATTTTAGCTTCTTCCAAAGACAATGATCTCTTATGACAATGGCATATGTCAGGCTATTCATGAGTTCAGAAAGCAATACTATCAGATATTTTATGTTGAATGTGACCAACAGATGCACACTCACCCATTTATCAAGTATTAAAATTTTATTTTATGATTGAATTTTCTGAGTTTTAGATTAAAATGCTGAAAACTCTTATTTTAAAGGCAGAAGAGGAAAGAAACTATCATATCTTCTATCAGCTTTGTGCCTCAGCCAAGTTACCTGAATTTAAGATGCTGCGATTAGGTATGAAAATGGAATTAGGTTTATTGCACTAGTATTGTTCTCTTTTAAGTTGTATTACGAGTTTATAAGCTTGTTAAAAAAGAGATTATCTCATATTGAAATATTTACGGATGACATAAGAGATCTGCAGTTGGCTTCAACATAACCCATGGGATAGGGAAGCAGGAGTAGCTGTCTAAATGAAACAAGATTGGTCTTGAGTTGATACTTGTTTAAGATGAATGATGAGTACATGGGTGCTCATTATACAATCTCTGTACTTTTGTATATGTTTGAAATTTGCCTCAATAAAGGAACAGAGTTGAAGTAGTTTATATGATGGAGGCCTGTGAGATTTCTGATGAGGGGAGTAAAGTGTTTGAAACATGTTGATTAGAATAAAATAGGAAAGGACTATTCATTTCACCAATTAAGATAAATAAACTAAAACATTTCACTTTATTATTTAATTTTGAGTTTTGTATTAAAATATAACTGAAAACACAGGCAGTGTAACTCTTGACTCTGTACGCTCAACTGTGCTATCATTGCTCCTAATTCATAGTAAACAAAAAGGGTAGAAGTGTTTTTTGTAGACTGTATATCTTTTATCTTTCTTCTTATTTACAGGAAATGCAAATAATTTTCATTACACGAAGCAAGGTGGCAGTCCTGTGATTGAAGGAATCGATGATGCCAAGGAGATGGCACATACCAGGCAAGCCTGCACTTTGCTAGGTAATGTGATTTTATTCTTGAGCTCTTATGAGCAGTGGCTTTTTAACTCAAGCAACCTTTGTTTGGAATATTGGCTTAGCTTCATATTAAGTGGTGAGTATGTTGAGAGATTTAACATTCCTTATAAAACATATTTGGATAGCAAATGGGCATGGGGTTTTTTTTTGGGGGGGGCGCGGAGTGATGGGAATTGTTCTAAAATTAGATTGTGATGATGGTTGCATAACTTTGTAAATTTACTAAAAATCATTGCATTGCATACTTAAAACAGGAATTTTATGGTATGCAAATTATTCTTCAATAAAGCTATTTTTAAAACACACATTCAGAACATCAAGGGAGATAGAAGTAACAAACTAACTCTGCTTACGTTTTCATAAAACTTGAAACCGAGAGATAAATGAAATGAAATTGTTTCCTGTACAAATTTGTATTTTGCGGGGTTTTTTTCATTTGTGGCTGGGAAATATGGCATGTGGCTGAGCTGGGCTGGGTGACAAAACACTGTGTTACATGTAGTTTATTCTGTTTTTGATATGACTCAGATGTCACTGTCTGGTTTCTGATATTTAAAAATATTGGATCTACATATAAATAAATCATTCTTTAGAACTGTAGTATACAACTCATGAAGTGAATTGATTTAAGTTAAAAGCATTGCTAATCAGAGTATGGTCAGGACTACTGTAGAGCTTGTAAAAATTCAGAATCTCAGATCTACCTCAGACCTGCCGAATCAGAATCAGCATTTGAACAAGATCCATTGGTGATTAATATGCATATTAAATTTTGAAAAACACTGCTTTACTTCTAAGCATAAATCTGTTTATAAATAGAAAATTAGAAATTTGAAAAAACCGTAATACAGGAGATGGCAAAAACATTCATTATGAGATCAGTGCTCAGTTCCCCTGGATATGATTACATATTTGGAAATAATTTTACTATATCTACTTGCATATACGTATATTTGACATTCTGGAAATTCTTACCATATTGGAAAATAAAGCCAGATCAGATAAAAAGCCAAGAGCTATATCCATCTTGCTTACCCTCCCTTATCTTTCTGGTCCTGGTTTAATGCTGTACTTAGACACTCATTGTTCAGTATGGAGTACACCACCAGCCTGAACACTTCTAATCTTGGGGTCTCTGACTTATATTTGTCTGTAGTTAAAAGAACTAAATAATCTGATTTAACTTGGCTGATGTGGCACAGTGAATTGAGTGTTGTCCCATGGACTGTGAGGTCCCAGTTCGATTTCCAGTCAGGGTACATGCCTGGATTGCAGGCTCGCTCCCCAGTAGGGAGAGTGCAGGAGGCAGCCAATCGATGTTTCTCTCTCTCTCTCTTTCCCACTTTGATTGGAGATAAATGGAAAAATATCCTCGGGTGAGGATTAAAAAACAAAATTGGCTTGAAAGTGTCTGCTGTAATTGTTTAGCTCCTGTTTTAAAATTAATCACTTGTTCATTTACTTTATTGTTTCAGGAATTAGTGAATCTTATCAGATGGGAATTTTCCGAATACTTGCTGGCATTCTTCACTTAGGTAACGTTGGATTTACATCTCGAGATTCAGACAGCTGCACAATACCTGTAAGTTCAGAACAAGCTTAATGCAAAGCCAGTTGATTTGTGTTTTAGATTTGTTGATTCTTTATGGAAGAAGTATATTTTAAGTCTCTCTATTAACATTATCAGAGATACAATTATCAGACAGATGTGAAATCTTGAAGTGAAAATAAAGAGATAAGGATTCTAATTCCTGGTGCACAGGATTGTTGTGTTGATTATGTGTGTATATGTGTGTTTGTAGCAAGGGTAGGAGACTCACACTTGTATAAACAGAGGTCAGAAATAGACGTGAAAGTTGAATTGGTAAATCTAGAGAGAAGGGTTTATTTGGCACAAGTGTCAAGAATTGATAACTTTATTTTTGTCTCCAGCTGTGGAAATCTGATGTTTCAAAAACTATTGAAGAAAATGTTAGCAGTGGTTACTCTTGAGAAGAGGGATTAGATGGCTGTGAGATGGGGTGTCTTCACTACGAGTTACATATTCTACACATAGTGATAACTGCACACTGAGAATTAAAACCCAATTCCATATGTGGAAACCATTTGTTTAAACTGTAACAAACCTGACAGTCCAAATTGTCCTCATTGGATATTTGTGATTTGCAGTGTTTGCTAATCACTACCATCAGAGATACACACACACACACACACACACACACACATTTATTAGGTATCTTTTAACTTTATTAAAATAGAAGTTTTAATGTAATTCTTTTTCCAACCTGCTTTTTCAAGAATTGTAATAGAAGACAGTCTTGAGATTTATGTTTTATTTTTGAGATACCTGAGTGATATTAACAAATTTACATGTAGATTAACTTGTATTTGGGTAAATTCAACTTTAGTTTGGAAATATATGCTTCATTATCTCTGTTTGGTTCAATCCCAATTCTGCTATTTACTCACTCTGTGTTTTGGGGTAAGTAGCTTTGTTTCTTTGAATCTCAGTTTTGGATTAGGTGCTCTGATTGACCTTCATGCTGAATAAATTATATTTTTAAAATAAATACATAAGAGCCACTCAGAGGCCAACAATTGGGTGAAAATAGGAACTCAGAGAACAAAGCAGAATCCTGAAGCTAGGACTCACCTTGAGAGAATTTGCAGAACCCAGTGACCTTGAGCTTTGGTTTTCATAGCCAAGTGGGGTGCTGCAGAAGAGAAAAAATAAAGTCTAGGACTTACATAAACAGGGGAACAAATAAGGGAAGCACTGCTTAAAACTGAGACTCTAATCAGGGCACTAATAATAATCCTTGATGCTGAGGTAGAAGAGGAAAAAATGGTTCTCTAAAAATTTGTAACAACAAACTGACCGTCACACATGCTTCCAGCCTGATTTCATAGTTCCTGGATGATCCCAGAAAGCTACAAACAGAAAACTTTGCTTCGGTTTGTCTTGGAATGGTGGTGCTCTAGATGCCTGACAGAGGCAAATGCAAATTTACTTTGGAGGATCCACCTTCAATCGAGGCCTCAATAGAGTTGAGAAAGGTTATAAGAAATATTGGCTCATAGTAAAAAAATCATAAATACCACAATGAAACAGAAGGAGCTAGGTAAAATAACAGCATAGCAGAGTCAAACCTATTAAGAAAGAAATTAATAGCAGATTTGACACAACTAAGTAGAGAACTGATGAGCTAGAAGATAGATGGGAAGAAATGATCCAAAATGCAAGATAGGACCCAGAGAAGAAGCACTTAAAAACAATAGTTAAGAGAGACAAAGAATAGATAATAAATTCAAATTTTAATCTAATGAGAATTTCTAACAGAGAGGAAAAAAGAGAATAAGGCAGATATAATGTAAGAGATAATTACTAGCACATTTCAGAACTTGTGAAATATCACTAAACCACAGATTTGGAAAGTCCAAAAAATCTCAGTTAGAATAAATAAAAAGGAAATCCATCTCTAAGCACACCATAATGATGCCAAGGGCAGAAAGAAAAATCTTAAAACAGGCAGAGAGATAAGACATGTTACTCTTGAAGAAATAGCAATTAAAGTGATAGCTCACTTTCCAACTTCAACAGTATGAGACAGAAAACAGTTGATTACTATCTTTATTGTAAATTACTATTAACTTAGAATTGTATATCCAATAAAAATATCTGTCTAGAATGAGGGAAAAATAGAAGTGTTTTTAGACAAATAGAAACTTGTGAGAATTTGTCACCAGTAGGCTTCACTAAAGGAAATATTAAAGGACATAGTTTAGGCAAAAGGAGAGTGATCCCAGATAGAAGATCTAAAATGTGAGAAGAAATAATGATTCAACAAACTAATAAAGTACAGGCAAATATAGATAAAATTTGTTTAATTAAAACAACAATAATAAGAAACAATGTACTGGGCTGCAAAAGATAACACTCTCCATAAAATACTTACTAGTTACAAAGGGAAAAATAGTTATCTTTCTAGTGGAGAAAACTAGCAGACATTCCATTAACCAAGTGACCACAATGGACATGACCAATAATGGGACCAGTCAGCATCATGTAACTTCTGATGTGGAACACTGAGGAGAGATGAACATCACTTCCCTGGTATTCTTGCTAAAAACACATGAACTAGATCTAATCATGAGGCAACATCATATAGCCCCAAATTGAGGGATATACTTTTAAAAAATGTCAAGATCACAAAAGACAAAAAAGAGCGAAGAAGTGTTCAGATTAAAACAGATGAATGAGTCCTGGTCAGGTAGCTCAGTTGGTTGCAGCATTATCCCAGTACCCCAAGGTTGCAGGTTTGATCCCTGGTAAGGACACACATAATAATCAACCAATGAATGAATAAATGAGTGGAACAACAAATCGATGTTGCTCTCTCTCTCTCTCTCTCTGTCTGTCAAATCAATCATTACATAAAATTTTTTTAAAAAGAGCGAGATTAATGAAACATGATAACTGAATTCATTGAATGAACCTAGATTGGATTCTGGACCTTAGAAATGTTTTTTTGCGTTTGTTTTTTCTCACTGGAGATTATTAGGTCAATCAGCAAAAACTGAATTAGATCTGTAGGTTAGATAATAAGGTTTGTATCATTGCTAAATTTCTGATTTTATTTATTATACTATAGCTTTGTAAGATAATGTCTTTGGTTTTTAGGAAACACACAGAGAAATTTTTAGGAGTAAAAGGCTAATATGTTTGCAACTTATGCTCAAAAATTCTGAAAAAATTGTGTTGTTATGTATGAAAGAGTGAGAGAAAGAAAATGATATAAGTAAATGTAAAATGTCAATACTATATTTAGGGACTCTGGGTGAAGTGAATTCTTTGTACTGTACTTGCAATTTTCTATTAGTCTAAAATTAGTTCAAAGTAAACAGTTAAAAAAAAAAAAAATTGAATCACTAGCCCCTCCTCTCCCCCGAAAGATAGAACTAAAGTACTGGATAACAAAGCATGGAGATTGGATGGGGGTGTTTGAAGTTAGTGGAAGTTAATTACATTGAATTAACTAATACAACTTAATGTTTTTTTATATAAGTAGAAGCAGAAAGTAAACCTTTCAAACTAATAGAGAGGAAAATAGAGTAAAAACCATAGTTCAAATTTAGAGAAAGTGGAACAAAAACATCACACAAATAAGATAGAAATAATCACAAATGGACTAATGTTTCAGTTAAAATGAGTTGTCAGATTGGTTTAAGAATTCAGGTATATACTTTTAAAAGAAGAATTCCTAAAGCATAAAGGTACAGAAAGTTTGAAAATGGTTTAGAAAAGACACACCATAATAGCTAGAAAAAAACTGGCAGAGCTATATTGATACTTGACAAAATAGACTTTGAGTCCAAAAGCAGTACTAGAGATAAAGAAAGTCACTATGTAATGAAAGAAATTATATTCACCAGGAAGATGTAATAATTCTAGGTTTGGCATGTACTTAATAATGTAGCCTTCAAATATACAAAGCAAAAAACAACAGAAACCACAAGAAGAATTAGACAAATCTATCATAATGGGATATTATTAACTTCTCTCGATTATTGGTAGATGGAGTTAAAAAATTACTAAAGTTATAGAAAATTTGAACAAAACAGTTAACAACCTTGATCCAGTAGAACACTACATTAATACCATTCAAATAGAATATGTTTAGAGAGTACTGATCCACTTCTAAGTGATGTCAAATCATTGGTCTATGTATGAGAGAAATAAATTGCTGTTTAAGGGAGTTGAACCATGCTGTTGGTAGTGGTGCTGATTTGTATCTGGAATAATTACTTGGGAGGAGAGGAGATGAAAGAAGGAAGGGATTGCTTCAGTGGGAAGGGCCAGGGGATGAGGGTGTCAGGAAACCTGGGTTCTAATGACAACTCTGACATGAATTGGCCATCTGATTTTTTGACAAGCTATTCTCTTGGATCTTATTTCCTCATTTGTTAATTTGAGATTATAATATTTGGCTGCCTATTCCCCAGGAATGTTATCAGATTCATTTGAAACATGTGAGTGAAGATTTGAAAAATATAATACAATAACATGGGTTAACTTAAATATTTATTGAATGTCTATTCATGTAAGTGGTTAGAGAGATTCTACTATACAAAGTCACACAAATAATTATCAAGTTATCGTTTTAAAACCCTTCAGTGGACTCCTATTGCTCTCAGCATAAAGACCAGCCACGGTATATAGCCTCTGCCTGTCTCTGGCTTCATCACATACATCTTCTCCCTCACCCAACTTCAGTCCTTCATATTGATTGTAACCCTCCCACCACGGGATTTTTATATCAGCTGTTCCCTCAGCTTAGAAGACACTTTCCTCCCCCTTTCATGGAGTTAGCTTCTTGTCATTCAGATCTGAACTTCATGTCTCAAGGCAGTGGTCTCCTGCCTCCCTGGAAAGAGCACTGGCATCTCACCTGGAATCTCACTGTAGTGGATCTCTCTTTTGTAGTGATACTACATTTTAGGGAGCATTAGTAATAAATATCCATTTACCCTAGAACTATAAGTTCTGGGAGGATAGGGATCATGTCTGTTTTTGTTTACTGACTTATAATAGGCACTCAGTAAATATATGTTGACAGGCCCTGTCCAGTTTGGTCCGCAGGCCAACTGCTGAGCCAGAATCCCGGGTTCGGTTCCCATAAGGGCACGTACCTCTGTTGCAGTTTGTCCCTGGCCCTAGTTGGGGTCCTGTGGGTGGCAACCAGTCGATGTGTCTCTCTCACATCGATGTTTCTCTCTCTCTCTCTTCCCTCCACTCCCCCTCCCGTTCTATCTGAAGATAAATGCAAAAAATGTCCTCGGGTGAGGATAAAAAAACACACACACACATATATATGTATTGACAGGCTGACTGATTTTCTGATTGACTGAATAAATGTGTCTGAAAAGAGATACAAACAAATACTCTGAAAGGACAGGTAATTTTTGAAATAAGCCCTAGCAGAGATTGCAAATGCTGCCTAAATGTTGGTTTGATGGATGATTTTGCTTATTATCACTAATGGGCTTTCAGTGATTTTGGTGTTTGTTCTAACAAAGAAATTGCTGGGTTTTATTGTTACCACTTTGTTAGTGTTGTTTGATTGATCTGTCATAGGAAATAACCCATTCTCTTTTGGCAGCCCAAGCATGAACCTCTCAGTATCTTCTGTGACCTCATGGGTGTGGGCTATGAGGAGATGTGTCACTGGCTCTGCCATCGGAAGCTGGCCACTGCCACGGAGACATACATCAAGCCCATCTCCAAGCTGCAGGCCACAAATGCCCGAGATGCTTTGGCCAAGCACATCTATGCCAAGCTCTTTAACTGGATTGTAGATCATGTCAATCAGGCTCTCCATTCTGCTGTCAAACAGCACTCTTTTATTGGCGTGCTGGACATTTATGGGTAGGTATATTTGACTTAGTGGCCTGCCAGAGAACATTTCTTTCTAGAGATTTTCTAGTAACTCTATGTGGATATTTGATTCTGTCTCCTACTGGTAAGAAGGGAAAATTAGAAGAGAATTTCTGAAAATCTAATTTTATTGGCTAGTTTTCCTTCCCTGGGTACCTTTCTTTAACTATTAAAGTCTTTCCTGTACATTTTTGCTTTTTGATGCCTCATTTTCCTTTATCTGGTTCAGTTTTTCAAAAGCACCCATGAGATTTCTATTCCCAGTTCCCTTTTATGGGTATATAGGCACTAAGTCTGTACATTGACAAGAGCAATGGCTTCATCATAATACCGAGTGTTCCTTACTTGGGGATGAATTAGCCTTCCAAAACTCGTACTGTTGAATACATCTACATACCGGCGTCTTTTAAAAAATTTCTCAGCCACTTGACTGATGCCTGTCTGCTGTGTATCCCATGTTACTGACTTATAAACCTTTATCTTCACTGATGTGGAAAGAAAGTTTCACAGGGTTGGGGAATTTTCTATTTCTTTTTAATATGCACATTTTGAATATTTTTTACAAGCTACTTGTTCCCTTTTTTTCTCCTCTTTCCATATTATTTTTGGTTTTACAGATTTGAAACATTTGAAATAAATAGTTTTGAACAGTTTTGCATAAATTATGCAAATGAAAAACTACAACAACAATTCAATCTGGTAAGAATTTTTAAAAATAATATTCTACTATAAATTCTTCTCTTGAATTCCTAGTCTGCATTTAAGGTCTGGTTCCTGAAATGAAGTTATGAGTTACAACTATTATCTGGTGTTTAGAACAGCTAAGCTACTGAGGATCTTATGATTAATAAATGATGCAACATTAGAAAAATGTTTATGGTCCAGATAGGATTCAAGGTCATCCTTGGATTGCTGTCTGAGCATAGTGAAATTTTGGTACAAATAAGTTGAGTGAGGGAAGCAGAAAGCTTTGAGCCTACGGATAGCCTTCAGTTTGTTGTTCCTGGGGCTAATTATATGTGGACTTATGACAGTCTTAACTTTTACTTGTATTCGCAAGATGCTAGAACAAAAATTCAGAACATATTCTCTTTTCTACATAATTTTTACATATTTTCTTTTCAACAGTTTGAGACATTCACTGAGACAATGGCAATGGGCATATTTTGAGAGTGCCTCTTGTGAAGTAGTAATATCAAATATCTGAGAGCATTATCATGATGTTGAGAGATTTGAAGGCACTTAAAAATGAGGGGTAGCAGATTGTAATAATGAAGAGCACAGACTCCCTGAGATGAATTGCTTGGGTTACAGTCCTACTCAGCTTTGATCCAGGGGACCTTGGGCAAGTTAATTGACCTTCCTGGCCTTAGTCTCCTCATCTGTATAATGGGGATAATAACAGTACTTGCTGCATATAGTTCTGTGGATTAAATGAATTGGGATATGTAAAGTGCTTACCACATGCTAGGTACAGTTCTAAGTGAAAGATTAGGGGTAGTTATTAGTATTGATAAAAGAGGATATTAAAATGAGTCATCCAAGGAATTGGAAGATGCCTGGAAGAGAAGACAGCTGAAGGACAGGAGAAGAACCTTTAATAAATATCTTCATCTTACAAAGAGAGAGGTCAAGTGGTGTAGTCTTAAAATTGATGAAGAAAAAAATAGAAGTTTAAAGTTATTATTTTAAGTTACACAATTAATAAAAACCAGAAGATTTAAAAATAGTTAATATAGGGAGGATGGGAAGAAGCAATTAAGAGATGATATATGTGAATTTAGCCCCATCTGTCTTATCAAAAAATCAATAGATAATGTTTCAGATAAGTAAATTTTAAAATAGCTGATAAGCATATTCTTTAAAGGTAAATATCGGAAGAAATATCTTAGGGAGTAATGCCCTGGCCAGGTAGCTCAGTTGGTTAGAGTGTCAACCTGGTATTCCAAGGTTGCAGATTCGATCCCTGGTCAGGGCACATACAGTAATCAACCAGTGAATACATAAATAAGTGGAACAACAAATTGATGTCTCTCTCTCTCTCTCTCTCTCTCTGTCTCTCTCTGTCTCGCTCGCTCTCTCTCAAAGCAATTTAAAAGAAAGGAAGGGGAAGGAAAGGAGGGAAGGAGGGAAGGAAAGGAGGGAGGAAAGGAAGGAGGGAAGGAGGGAGGGAGGGTGAGGTCAGGGTGTTATAAAGTGGTTGCCACCAGGGAGTAAGACTGGGGTTGGGGAGGGATGGGACAAAGGATTGTTGCTGGTCATCATAAAACTTTTAGACTGTTTGATTTAGAAAAAATATTGCATATACTTTGATAAAAATTTGGACCATCTTTAGCAAATTAAGTTACTTAGCACACTGAAATAATGTAGAGGTGATCTTGAAGCCTTAGATTATGACTTTTTTCATAAGAATATGATGGGTGTCTTTTTCTTTTTTTTTTTAATCCTCACCCGAGGACATGTTTTGCATTTATCTTCAGATAGAGCAGGTGGAGCCCTGGCCGGTTTGGCTCAGCGGTTAGAGTGTCGGCCTGCGGTCCGGAGAGACCCGGGTTCGGTTCCCGCTAAGGGCACGTACTTCGGTTGCAGTTTGTCCCCGGCCCTGGTTGGTCGTGCGGGTGGCAGCCACTCGATGTGTCCTTTCACGTCGATGTTTCTCTCTCTCTCTCCCTCCCACTCTATCTGTACAAAAAATGGAAAAATATCCTCGGGTGAGGATAAATAAAAAAAATAAAAAAAAAAAAGCAGGAGGAAGAGAGCGAGAGAAACATCGATGTAAAAGAGACACATCGACTGATTGCCACCCACATGACCCCAACCGGGGCTGAGGATAAACGGCAACCAAGGTACGTGCCTTTAGGGGGAACCGAAACCGGGGCTCTCTGGTTTGCGGGCCGAGACTCTAACCACTGGGCAAACCCGGCCAGGGTGATGGGTGTATTTTTCATCTCTGTGTAAGGAACATTAATAAAAACCTATGAGAGACTAAATTGAGCATTATCTTTTCTCAAGGTTTTCCAGAGTTTCTTAATATTTCTTAATGCTTTAATCAGTGACACAGCCTTCTGCTCTTTCCCCATATACATTGATACAAGGTAACTGGAAGTATAAGGCACCAATGCCAGCCTCATTAGGGACTATTTCTCAAGGGCCTCAGGTCTCTGAATGCGTGTTTCTGACTCTTATTTCTCTCTCTTTCTTTCTGTTTCTATCCATCTGTTTCTTCTCTCTCTCTCTCCCACACCCACATAAACCACACACCGTACTACTCTTAGCTTCTCTCTGCACAGCTGCTCCACTTCCTCTTATTATCAAATGGCATATTCTTTCCTTCTACTCTCTATGTATTTTCTGTACCTTATGTTTTCTGCTTACTCACTCCGAACTTCCAGCAGTGGTTGGAGTGTGCCTCCCATTCTCTCAACTTGCTTGGCTCCTATTCTTGACTTCTGTCAGCTGCAGCGTCCACTGGTAACCTAGTTCATTTTTTCATCAGAGGTTTCAGGAAGTAGAGTGCCCTCAAGTACCCACACTTGATCTAGTCATCTGTGACTAGGAACATGGGGTCTCACCGTAAAGAAAGAACTTGGCTGCTGAGGGCTGCTCTCTCAGCATGGCCTGTCGGTAGGGCAGTGGGCATGAAAAACATGATGACTGGCGTGTTGAGTGCTTGGAGGGATTACCATATCGACCAGATTCTCTTGCCATATTGAACCTCATGCCCACCTTGTCTCTTTGACAATTGAGTATCTAAAATTTTTGAGGCCCCATCCACTTTTCCAAACTTAGACATAGAGATGTGAGTGAGAAAAAAGCCCTGATTAAAGCCTGGAGCAGTGCTTCTGTTGTCAATGTGGAGACTGCATATAAATGAATGAATCAGAAAGGAGGGCTAATTGTTTTAGAAAATATTGATACCATCATTCAGGGCACCCTGCTGACACACGGTGCCTATTTGCCTTCTCATTAATCAAAACAATAAAAAAATTCACTTTCTAGTTAGCATACATAAATATTCATACAGATGACCAGGTTTTGTTTGTTTGTTTGTTTGTTTGTTTTTACTAAAGCTTATTGCAGCTGATTAGACTACAAATGCTGCAATGAGCCAAGAGTGCCATTGTAAGAGAGTGTGTATCAGAAAACTTGATGACACTTAAGTTTTGTGGGGTTTGGGGTCCTAATATATGTTGTCTGGTTATAGCCACAGAGGGCTAATCTTAGCAGAAAAGTAGCAAGTTGTGGACACAAACCAAAGAAGATAAGAAAGACTAGTGAAGGAAAGCAAAACTCCCAGAACTAACAAACGGAGGTCATTAGCATCTGTAGAAACTAGAAGATGTGGGTGGGCTGCATTGGCAGGGTGGCCTGAAGCAGAGGTGGGATTGCCCTTCCCACCTGGACTGACTTAGCTCCCATTCATCTGCAGAGCTCAGACCTCATAGCCTTTCCTCAGGGAAGCTTTTCCACACCACTCTGTATCCAGACTAAATGAGGACGCTTGCGCTCATAGCTCACATTATTTTCCTTTGTAACATTACAATTTCTGACTATATTCCTTGTGATTATTTTATTTGTCTGCTTCTCCCACTAGTCTCCAAACTCCATGAAGGCAGAGCCCACATCTATTTTGTTAATAGTATTTGGTGACTGGCACATAGTAGACAGTCAATACATATTTTTGGTTAAAGGAATGAATGCAGATTAGAAGCAATGGTGAGGGTGGTGGCTGAAGCATTTGGCAGAAACAGCATGAATTGATAGTGGCTGCAGCTGCTTGCAGAGTTGGATGTAGAATCCAGAAAAGTGAGTTTTAGATTTCCTAACTGTAGAGAATAATCAAGGCAGACACAAAAGACCAACTGTTATCTAACTCCGAGGTACATCAACTTCAACACCACAGTCCCTTAAGAGAATTACTTTGTTATGCTGTAAGCATCACCCGGCATGGTTCAGTCATCAGGAGGGTATCCACTCTGCGTAGTTGTTCAAGGCCAGCTAAGACATTCTTGTGCCCATGTTCTAACAGCATTATACAATAATTTTAAGAGCCCCAAAAGTATGTAATTTGGATGTATACATAGAAAAAATTGAAAACTGCACCCTGGCCAGTTTGCTCAGTGGTTAGAGCGTCGGCCCTCAGACCAATGACTTGCGGGTTCGATTCCAGTCAAAGGCACGTACCTCGGTTCATCCCCAGCCCTGGTTGGGGTCGTGCCGGAGGCCACCAGTCGATGTGTCTCTTTCACATCGATGTTTCTCCTCTCTCCCTCTCTCTCCCTCCCCCACTCTATCTGAAGATAAATTAAAAAAATATCCTCAGGTGAGGATTAAAAAAAAATTTGAAAACTGCTACATTTATCAGCTATTTAAAACATTCACATACCTAGATTTGCTTGTTCTTCAAGAATCCTATATAGTTGTTTACTGTCTGGGGTTTTTATTTGTTTTATTTTATTGTTCTCTTGTGTAAATCATGTTTCTCCAACTGATTGTTGTTGCTGAAAGCCATGGACTATCTCAAATTATGTCAGTATCTTAGAGTGTTTTATGTAAATGTTGTTTCTTGACTATTATTTATGATAATGATCCAGTGATGCCACTTTCTTTTTCTTTTTCATTTCAGCATGTCTTCAAATTAGAACAAGAGGAATATATGAAGGAACAAATTCCATGGACGCTCATAGATTTTTATGATAATCAGCCTTGCATTAATCTTATAGAATCTAAACTGGGCATTCTAGATTTGCTGGATGAGGAATGCAGAGTAAGTATGACTCCCTGATGTACTTAGTCAAAACAGCTATATCAAGATCAGAAGATAAATGGGTTTAAGCAGAGATTCATAGTATACTATGAGGTGCCATTGTGGGGTTCACAGTAACTTGCATTCTGAAGGGTCACTAGACCCAAAGGCTTTTAAATGCAAGTGAAACTAAGAGAATTTCTCTTCTCTTATCAGCTGACTTGAAATTATGTGAAAGATGGACATTTGATACAACTACTACCAATTTTAGCCACTTCTGATAATATGTTTGTATTTGGTACTTTTTGTTAAATGGTATGATATATTTAAAGAAATGTAAGAAATTACAAAAGATATATATTTTTTTTTTTTTTATCCTCACCCGAGGATATTTTTCCATTTTTTGTACAGATAGAGTGGGAGGGAGAGAGAGGAAGGGAGAGAGAGAGAGAAACATCGACGTGAAGGGACACATCGAGTGGCTGCCACCCGCACGACCAACCAGGGCCGGGGACAAACTGCAACTGAAGTACGTGCCCTTAGCGGGAACCGAACCTGGGTCTCTCCGGACCGCAGGCCGACGCTCTAACCGCTGAGCCAAACTGGCCAGGGCTACAAAAGATATTTTGAATAATTGTTCTAAATATCCATGATATAACATTTGACTAGTTCTTTATTACTGATATGTATGGTAGGGAGGGAATTTTAACTTTAAATTTGAAGATGCAGAATGTTAGAAAAAGATGAGCTCCCCAGCTTTACTGTTAACTGAGTAATCTTAGACAAATAACCTGTTCTTTCTCTTTATTTATTTAGTTAATAAATTAATAGTTACAACTGAAACATAGATTGATCCTCCTAAGCATCCGGATTTTCTACAACATTCAGAATGCTTTTAATGACAAGGTCCCTCAGCCTCACTCACAATTAAACAAAATCCAAGTCAAAACAAAAACAAGTTAATGTTTTTTATCTATTAGGAGAGTTTAAATTTAGCAATACCTTTCATTTGATGCTACCAAATGAACTCTTCATGAAGGGCATGAATTAGTACAACATATTTTAGAGGAATTTGATGCTATTCATCAAAATTATAAAAATATATATATTTTTTTTCTTTATTGATTGTGGAGGGAAGGAAAGGAGAGGGAGAGAGAGATAGAAACATCGATAAGAGAGAACATCAACTGGCCGCCTCCTGCATGCCCCCCACTGGCAGTTTAGCCCACAACCTGGGCATTTGCCCTGACCAGGAATTGAACCAGCAACCTCTTGGTGCATGGGTCTATGCTCAATCACTGAGCCACACCGGCTGGGCAACACATACATATTTTGACTCAGCAGTGGAATTGCTGGGCGTTTACCGTATGAATATACTTGCAAAAGTATCCTGGGTATATATGTAAAAGAAGTCAATGTCAGAAAAATCAATAACAACATGGTGACCATAAATATAAAAATGCTACTATTAAAAGGGAAAAAAATGCAGTGAGTTTATAGAATGATCCTCTTTGTGTATATGCCTTTAGAGACAGGAAGATAGAGAATTTGATGGCAGTGGTAAGAGGAAACAATTCTCCATTTTATACTTTTCTGAATTATATAAATATTTAACTATATGCAAATATTACCTTTATTTAACAAGTTTTTAGAAAATACGTGATAGTCATGATATTTCATCTTTCATTTGTGAGGCTTTTATTTTAAGAGCAAATTGAATATTTTCAATTTGGCAGATTGAGTTTCCTCATGGGAAGGTCTCAGTTATTGTTCTCCATTAATAATGGATTTTTGGCCTATAAGAGAGAAATGTGGAAGAAATAAGTTCCTAAATTGAATATAAACTTGGTAGGTGAAACCAAAAAATGGTCTCTTAGTTAATGCATCAGAAAAGTCTCATAACAATATTCCTTTCTTTTTTCTTTCTTTCATTAAATGTAGATGCCTAAAGGTACAGATGACACTTGGGCCCAAAAGTTGTACAACACACATTTGAACAAATGTGCACTCTTTGAAAAGCCCCGTCTATCAAACAAAGCTTTCATTATTCAACATTTTGCTGACAAAGTAAGGAAGCTTTATTATCTTTTTTCTTTTTGAATACTTAACTTCAAAGAAGAAAAAAATCAGTAGTCAAGAGGTATTATTTTTTTTCTTGGCTGAAGTTTGCATTCTTTAGGGCTGTATAGGAAAAGTAATCTTCATTGTTGGCATGTTGTTTTTCTTTTCCTTTAACCTAAATGGAATTATGAAATAAGTATGGGTTTACAGTCCTCTCTCCATAATTTTGAAATCCAAGAAACTCTGAAAACCAGAAGTCTTTGGATAATTTATTTAGTTGGATAAACCTATCTCTGTCATGAACTAACATGGGGTTCTTTATAGTCTTTACTTATCCCAGTTAGGCTGTACATTTATATATTTCAATATAGAAATGATAATGTATTTGGTCACAGATTGCTGCTTTGGACTTTGCCGAACAATTCTGAATTCTAAAGCATAGCTGACCCCCAAGGGTTTCAGAATAGAAATTGTGGACTTGTGTCACCCTCTGTTATTTATTCACTGGGTCTTAGTAACAAGACAGGCAGACTTGCTGCTCTGCACATTCTGTAGTCTACTGAGAAAATCAGGAGCTGTAAGACTAATTTATGTTCCAAGGAGGTTGTAGGGTAGGCTGTGGAGTGAGCCCCTCAGGGTTTCCTTCAGGATTTGGGTGCCTTCTGAATCCTCCTTAATTCTGGCTGGAAACCTTGGAATGACTTTAGGGCCATGTAAGGGCTTTGTGGTACAGGCTGGGAGCCCCTTGAGTGGTAGATGGCTGAGTTACTGGAGTTTTGGAAGCAGGAATAGTTCATTCTCAAGTAGTTCCAGTTATCAAATTATACAGTATTTACCAGCCTGCACTTCCATCCATCCTCAGCGCTTCTACTTTCTTTCTGTTGGACAGCCATTTGTTCCTCCTGATCTTTCCCTCTTTAATCTCTTCTCTTCCAAGAGAAGACTTACCCTTGCTGGATGGTGCACTAGGTTAGGAGATTACTGGTCAGCTTTGGAGGGGCTGCCAGCACCAGTGAAGAGAATTAACTTCAGATGAGTCTGCTTACCCATGATGTGGGAGGATCTTTTAGACCACAGTTACTCAGCACTACTGCTGTTCCCTAGAAAAAACAGTATTTGGAAAGCTTTGTCTAGGGTTAACATACTTCTTACCAAGTTTGTGGTTTCTTAGAATAGACCAATGATAACCACTTTGCTGTTTGCCAGTCATATAGCCTGAGCTTAATACATATTTTGTTGTTGATGATTATGATATATATTCAAAAGTTTTATCAGTTAAGGAGATTTTTCCATATTTTTTCAGGTGGAATACCAGTGTGAAGGCTTTCTGGAAAAGAATAAAGATACTGTTTTTGAAGAACAAATTAAAGTTCTTAAATCAAGCAAGGTAACCATGTACATGGTTTTATTCAATCAGGATATATTCAATAAAATGTTAAGTACTTAAGCATTAGCTTTTTAAACAATAATAATGATTTTTATAACAAAATCAGCTCTATTGCTAGTTTTCAAATGTATAGCACTTAACTTTGTTAGGTCCTGTTTCAAATGCCTTACAAATGCTAACTCATCTCTCCTCATAATGAGGCGACATCATCATTACTCTGCCTGTTTTACAGATGAGGGACCCATGGCACAGGGACTTCAGTGCTAATGAGTGTTCATGCCAGATTAAAACCTAAGCTGTCTGCTCAGACTCTGTGTTTTTAACTACCATGCATGGTTGTCTTTCAGTTTTATGTGACAGTTTTGCCTCCACAGCAGTTTTAGACTCATCTTGTGCCTCTGTGAGAGACTTTGAGAGAAAATAGTTTTTGCTGTGTCATTTTGAAGGGATGCACTTGAAACATGACCTTATGCACTCTTCAGATGGAGACAGATTTCTGGATCATTGAGTATAGTTTCAGGTGTGGTCCAAAGCACTTTGAAATTATATTTTTCTAGGCATAGATTCTAGAAACAATGTTTTCTAGTGGGAAAAGAATATTCAAGATGGCAAATAACTATGATGGGTACATGGATTGATTATTAGGTTGATCCCAGTCTCCATTCTTTGACTCTAATCAAGAAAGGATAGGAAGGGAAGCACAGCTCACTTTCATTGTGAAGGAACAAACCAGGAAGCCAGTTACTCAGTTTAGCAAAATGAGTATTCAAATATTAAAAAAAAACTAAAAATATTAATCATATTCTTCTAGATTACTGACTGGTACTTTTTTAAGTTTATTCTAAAATTATCAGTTTTTCTAGTTTATTCTAAGACAGTCTTTTTTTGTAACGTCAGTGGAATATTATATGAACATTTTGACTCTTGTTTTTAGAACAAAAGCATTTACTTTAAATTATTTTGATAATAGAAAGATCATATAAAGACAAAATTCTAGTTTTTAACCCTCAGGAAATAAAGATTATATAAAGACCAAATTCCAGTTTTAACCTCAGGAAATAAAGAGTCTAAGTGTCTTTAGATAAAGATTTTTCCTTATCCTCATAGGCACTGGGCATTAATACTTTATGGCCTATGGGGCTGATGTAGAAGAGAAAATTCTCTCACAGGGCCAATCCTTGAATGTTATTCAATTAAGACTATAAATAATTTTGATTTATGAATAGTAACGAAAACCATGAAATTCTACTGTCACTACTCTGCCTAAGTAATTAGCTTAAATAGAATATTCACAGGTTCTCATTCCCCAGAAACCCATAATCAGTTGTGTCCTTATTCTGACTTAACTTTTTTGATTGGCTAGTTATCAGCTTAATTATCAAAAAGTAGTTACGCATTCTGAGCAATCATTTGGAGTGATTATCAATCTATATAACATTGTCACTGTTGGAATGGGGACCGTGTGTGATTTACATAGAATCTTAAAGGCATCCCCTGCTCCCAGTCAGAAACTCATCCCCTCAGAAACCCAGCCTAAGGGTATGAACTTTATATTTTAATGTCTTTGCACCTGATAGGAAGCAAGTATAATAGTGTTGATTTGTTCTCCTAGATGTACTAATATTAGAAGGTTAATATTATGTGTTTTAAATAGAATTATTTTTGTGGTAATACAGAGTGGGGTTGAGTTGGTGTGTGTGTTTTGTCTTTTTCTTTCCTCTTCAATTTTGCAGCTTTTAGTCAAATTTTCAACTTGAAAAGGACTTAAGGTCTTACAAACTTAACAAAAAGTATCTTAAGATTTCTTTAGGGTGAAAAAATATAAATTATGTTGCCACATCTAATATCAGGGAGCACATAAATGATTACAACTCTACCAGATACCATTAAAAAGAGTTACAACCCCTATTTTCTATGTTGCTTATTGATGAAGGGAAGCACAGTTCATCTACTGAGTTGATGCTTTAGATTTCTCATCTATGAAATAGAATTGTAATAGTATCTAAGGGGTTCTAATGAAGATTAAATAGGTTTTATTAAGCCCTTAGAGTAGTGCTTATGCATAAAAACCTCTTAGTGAATAATGGTATTGTTGTTATTACCGAAATGATTTCCCACATTTTCATGAAGCTGCTACTTGGATTATTTTGTTTTCTGTTAACACTATTTCCTAGACAGAGCAAAGAAACAAGGTGGAATGTCTAGGCATATCTACCTACTTATATATCTGTGTATCCATTTCTCTTTAAATAAAGTTGGCATCCTCAGTCAGTGGGGAATGGATAAATTCTTTAATAAGTGGTTTAAGAAAATTGGGAATTTAGCCAGGTAAACAAGGTAAATGAGATAGGGAGAGGTTCTTGCTTTTGTGCAGAGTTAGATAATAACCATGTAATCAAATATTTAGATAATATTACATCAAAGTGGTAAATGCTATAAAGGAAGGTAGAACAGGTTAACAAGCTAGAGAGTGACTAAGCTTGGGCAGGGGTGAAGTCTGCATTAGCTGGGGTGGTCAGGGAAGGCCTCTCTGAGGAAGTGACATTTAGATTTAGGCTGTGTCCTAAAAAATGGGAGACAGTCATGTCAAGACAGATGGAAGAACAGGTGAGGAGCACATAGGTAATGCTAATGTAGAGCTAACAATTTATTTGGAAGTGATAGAATAGCACTTATACCCCCCCTCGGTAATCCAACCTATTCTCTAAAAATTATTATTGATTCATAATTATTTTCAAATAGTATAATACTGTAGAACTAGTTCATGACATTCTTCCTGCTGAGATTTGCAGTGATATATTTTAGCTGGTGCTCTCCATTTGAATTAGTGGGTAGACAAATGAAGCAAGGTGATAAAACATTTTGTGGAACTACGGTAATAAGATAGGACATTCAGTGAGCATTTTGCTCATAAAATAATATAGTTCAAACTCAATAATATGTTTAGAGTGGCTAATTCTCGTGGATTAGGATTTCAAGTCTTAGTGGTTGTCTCTCATATGCACCCAATCAGGGATTGAACACGCAACCCGAGTATGTGCCCTGACCAGAAATTGAACCTGTGACTTTCTGGTGCACAGGACAACATTCAACCAACTGAGCACACTGGCCAGGGCTCATTTTGATTTTGTTTCCCCAAAACATGGTTGTCGAATTATTGTACCTGTATTCCCCCACCCCCCTGTGTTTTTATAGCCTAGATGTCACTTTCATCTCATACTTTTGGCTCCTGACACAGATACTGATTACTTCTGGAATATGGCCCTGAAAGTTTACTTAAGGGAGGGAATCACTATGGATTGCAAATCTTCATGTTTCTGTAAAGGTTGACATTTGAGTTGGAGTTAATTTTTAATTTTTTTTTTTTTTAGTTTGAGTTTAGAGTGTAATTTCCCTTTGCTCTTTCTGACTCAGTTTAAGATGCTACCAGAATTGTTTCAAGACGATGAGAAGACCATCAGTCCAACCTCAGCCACCTCTTCAGGGCGCACACCCCTCACCCGTATTCCTGCAAAGCCTACCAAAGGTAGACCAGGCCAGACAGCCAAAGAGCACAAGAAAACAGTGGGGCACCAGGTGAGTTCAGGAAGCCACTGCTGTGGTGTCCTTTTCTCTTTGGCTCAGCTGAAGCCTCAGGTGTTCCTTCTCAGCCTCCCAGGTGGGATCCTCGGGGGAGAAGAGGCTAGAGTTTTCACTGTGAGAACATGTAACACCGCTCCTACTCCTCTCCACCTAGCTTTAGACCCATGGCTCTGATTAAGCCTTTCCCAAAATAATTTTCTCTGCATCTTAATTCTTCTTCCTTTTAGACCACTGTAGCCTTTGTTTTGTTCTCTGGTCGTTTCCTCTCTGGATTTGTACAGAGCATCAGCTTCTTACACTGGAATAGTGCCCTCTCATTTTTTTGATGTCTTAGGCTCTTGTGGGGTGAACAGTGGCCCAGGCTTTGGACTCGAGGCTGAGCACTAGTCAGCTTCTTTTCCTGTGCATGGGACCCTGTGCCTAATGCAGATAGGAAGCCAGGCCTGACACAGGTCCACTGCCTCCAGTCCTGATCCTATGTCCCTGATGGTAACCCCATCCTGGCTGTACTCTCCCATTCTCCCACTCATGTCTTTTTCTTTATTGATTTTAGAAAGAGAGAAAGGGAGTGGGAGGGAGAGAGAGAAACATCAATGAAATAGAGCATCGATTAGCCACCTCCTGCATGCCCCCGACTGGGGATTAGGCCCACAACCTGGGCACATACCCTGACCGGGAATCGAACCAGCAACCTCTTGGTGCATGGGTCGACCCCCAACTACTGAGCCACACCGGCCAGTCATCCCACTCATTTCTATACTTTTTAAAGTCATCTGCTGCATTTTTCAGTATCTTACTCCCACTGTACATGATTAAATGGCCTTAATGTTTTTAAAGCAAGGTTATATTTTTAGTTAGAATTCTGAATTCACAACAGAAAACAGCAGAAACTTGTATTAAAAGGGGAGTGGGAAGACTGAACTCTAATGCAATAATGGACTTTGGGAGATTATGATATGTCAGTTTAGGTTCATGAACTGTAAAAGATGTGTACAGTTCTGGTGGGGGATGTTCATAACGGGAAGTCTGTGCTTGCGTGAGACAAGGGATGGTTGGGCGACACCCCCCCCCCCCCCCCGTATCTTCTCAATTTTGCCGTGAACCTAAAACTGCTCTGCAAAGAAAACCGTCTATAAAAAGAAGGTATGGCCCTGGCCGGTTTGGCTCAGCGGTTAGAGCATCAGCCACAGTCCATTGAGACTTGGGTTCAGTTCTCGCTGAGGGCATATATCTCGGTTGCAGTTTGTCCCCAGTCCTGGTTGGGTCGTGCGGGAGGCAGCCACTCGATGTGTCCCTTTCACGTTGATGTTTCTTTCTCTCTCTCTCCTTCCCACTCTATCTAAACAAAAAATGGGAAAATGTCCTCGGGTAAAGATAAAAAAAAAAAGGGATGGGGTGGGGAAAAGGGATGGCAGAGAGAGAATATGTATTTAGTAGAATAAGCATGTAAATGGTAGAATTTAAGCAAATTTTAACCTAAAACCCTGGCATTCTTGTTCAATAGCAGCCCCCCTTCTGAGATTGGGTCAATCTCTACTACTGTCATTAGAAGAAAATTTTAACTTGTTTTTGGCCTAGACAAAACCTTGATTCCCCTTTTGCTGTTTTCCATGCAGTTCCGAAATTCCCTTCACCTGCTTATGGAGACTCTCAATGCCACTACTCCTCACTATGTGCGCTGTATTAAGCCTAATGATTTCAAGTTCCCATTCACGTAAGTATTTCTCAATTACTGAATTTAAAAGTATCCATATTTCATAAGGATTACCAAACCAATAGAAGGAAAAAATATTTGGGTAATTCTTCATGACTTGTGGAGGGAAACTACTAGTTAATATAATTAAAAGAATATATATTTTTAACCTTTGCCCCCCCCCCCCCATTTCTCTTATCTGTCAGCCCCCACCTCTGGCAACCACCAGTCTATTCTCTGTATCTATGAGCTTGGATTGTGTGTGTGTGTGTGTGTGTGTGTGTGTGTGTGTTGTTTTGTGTTTTTGTATTTTTATTTTTATGAGATTATTTGAGCCAAACTGACGACAATGGCCAGGAAGCAAGATCTCAAATGCTCCATGTTTTGTGTTCTTTAGATTGCACGTGTAAGAGGGATCATATGGTATTTATCATTTTCTGACTTGACTTCATTTAGCATTATGCCCTCAGGTTCCATCTATGTTGTCCCAAATGGCAAGATTTTATTTTCTTTTATGGCTGAAGAATATTCCATTGTATATATACAACAGTTTCTTTATCCATTTATTCATTGATTGGGTCGTTTCTATATCTTGACCATTGTAAACAGTACTGCAATGAACATGGGGTTGCATATATCTTTTTGAGTTAGCGTTTTTTTTTTTTTCCTTTGGTTAAATACCCAGAAGTGAAGTTACTGGATCATATGGTAGTTGTATTTTTAATTTTGTGAGAATCTCCATATTGTTTTTCACAGTGGCTGCACCAGTTTATATTCCCACTGTAAAAAGGTCCCCTTTTTTCAACATCCTTGCCAACACTTGTTACTTGTTTTTTTGGTAATAGCCATTCTAACAGGTGTGAGATGATATCTCATTGTGGTTTTTATATGCATTTCCCTGATGATTAATGGTTGAGCATTTTTTCATGTATCTATTGGCCATCTGTATGTCTTCTTAGGAAATTTGTATATTTAGATCTTCTGGTCATTTAAAAAATCAGACTTTTTTTTTGCTATTGAATTGTATGAATTCTTTATATATTTTAGATATTAACCCCTTATTGGATATATGATTTGTAAACATTTTCTTCCATTCAGTAAGTTGCCTTTTCATTTTGTTGATGGTTTCCTTTGCTGTGCAGAAGCTTTTAGTTTGATATAGTCTTACTTGTTTATTTTTGCTTTTGTTGCTTTTACTTTTGGTGTTAGATTAACAAATCATCACCAAAACCTATGTCAGGGACCTTATCATCTATGTTTTCTTCTAGGAATTTTATAGTTTTAGGTCTTATGATCAAGTTTTTAATCCATTTTGAATTAATTTTTGTGTATGGTATAAGATAGTGGTTTAGTTTCATTTTTTACATGTGACTCTCCAGTTTTCTCCAGCACCATTTATCAAAGAGACTGTCCTCTCCCCTTTGTGTATGTTTGGCTTGTTTGTCATCAATTAATTGATCATGTATGTGTGGGTTTTTTTCTGGGCTCTCTATTCTGTTCCATTGATCAATGTGTCTGTTTTTATGCCAATAAACATACCATTTAATTACTAAATTTTATAATAGTGTTTAAGATCAGGGAGCCTCATGCCTCTAGCTTTTTTGTTCTTTCTCAAGATTGCTTTGGGTGTGGTTTTTTTCTTCAGTTGTTGTTCCCTTCTGAGAATGTGAGAACCAACTTAGTAGTCGACCTTCTGAAGATTTTAAAAGCTGAGGTTAAGCAAGCATTCATAGTTGTAGTTTCTGTTTTGAGTTTATTTTAGTTTAGGATTTTTCTGGGCTTTTGTTAATTTGGGCATTAGTTAAAACCAGAGCTGGGTGGGTAAGACTACTTTAGCAAAGGCTCACAGTTATCCCTGCTACTTTTGAATGGTTGAAACCATCATAGAATGTCTGCTTTTACCAGACATCTTGTTCTACATTAATTACCATATATGGAGGGAAATATTTTTTTCAAAAGGGAAATATTTCTTTAATTTTAAAAGTAATCTATGTACAAAGAACAACATCAACAACAAAAGAAAAACAAAAAGGAAAAAGCTAAAAAAAAACCACAAAAAAATAAAAGTAATGTATATACATTGTAAAACAATTTTCAGAAAATATAAAATAGTATAAAAATAAATGAAAAGGCATTCATTATACCCAGATAGATAACTGGTATTAAGTGGCCAACATTTCTTCCCTCCTTGCTGTGTGTGTGTGTGTGTGTGTGTGTGTGTGTGTGTGAGAGAGAGAGAGAGAGAGAGAGAGAGGCAGGAAGAGTGCAAAAGAGACACACTAATGAAAGGGAGGGGCTCATGTTGTAATTGCTGTTTTGTATCTGCTTTTATTTTAATAAATTGTGGATACTTTCCAGCTAGTAAATAAAAATCCACATCATCATTTTAATGGCTACATAATGTCTCATAATATAGACATACCATTATTTATTTAAATTATTTCCTTTTGATTGCCATTTAGGTTATTACAACAATGCTATGATAAACATCTTTTGCCAAACATTTTTGTATTTTTGCCTGATTACCTCCTTAGGATGATATATTTCTAGAAGTGGAATTTGTAAGTCAAAGATTAGACACATTTACCAAAGGTTATAGTAACTCAAACTCCCACTTTGTAGTGGAGGGGTGCTCTTTCCCCAACGCCCCTGCCAAACCTGCCCTCTGGCTCTTCTGCCTTAGATTGGAGGGCAATTCTGAAAAACTGTTACATCCTCTTCATTGCCAAGAAGCCCTTTCTGGAGAAAGAAGGAAGCAGGAAGAAGCTGCCACACCCTGGGCCAATCTCCAGGACAGCCCTAGCTAACACCATCTCCCAACACCACCAGAACACTTGAGAAAATAGCACAGCAGAGGGTTGGAGAGGTCGCTCAGAGCTTAACTGGGGGAGTAAGAGGAGTGATCATTCAGTGAGTGACAGGCCTAACCATTTCCCCTTTTAGGGTCAGTTTAATGTTAAGATGCCAGTTGTCTAGCATAAAATAAACATAAATTATGTCAGATTTAACACAACACAAAAATATTTTCCATTGACATGGACACTATATATCCTTAGTATGTACACACCAATAGCTTTTAAAACACGAGTACTGTTTTAAAAGAATGACTGAATAGGGCATATTTAATTTGTCCTTCTTGTCAGAGAAATCTCCAGAGCTGGCTAGTCTTTATTCCAGGGGAAATTTGTATGATGAGCTAAAGAATTATGAGCATGGCGAGTCAAACCAAGCCATGTGTGTTTGTTTTAAATATTTTCAGTGGTATTTCTTATGAGTTGTGGTATGAATGACAGATAATGTTTATGATTCTTTAGTTTTACTGCTGATTGTCTCCTCCCCACTATCACATAGAGTTTTCCATTTTGATCACTGCTACAACTTTTGAATGCTTTCTTTTCTGATGTATCTATTTGGCTTTTTATGGAAGAATCTCTGGACTGAGGAGAGTAATTTGAGACTACAGCCAGGCTTCTTTGTGTGTTAATGATTTTCATTTGTGTCTGTAGGTTTGATGAGAAGCGGGCTGTGCAGCAGCTGAGAGCATGTGGTGTCCTGGAAACCATCCGAATCAGTGCAGCTGGTTTCCCCTCACGGTGAGCCGGGCATTTTCCAAATATAAGGAATCCTAATGAGATAGGTTCCTACTGTAAATAAACTAACATGAGTTTCTTTTTATAGGTGGACTTACCAAGAATTTTTCAGCCGCTACCGTGTCCTAATGAAGCAAAAAGATGTGCTGAGTGACAAAAAGCAAACATGCAAGAATGTTTTAGAGAAACTGATCTCGGTAAGAAAAAATTTACTTACCTTTATCTGAACAGATTATGGCCAAAGGCCTTGTGATTATAATCTGTGAAAGCCCAGGGAACATTCAAATATCACTAGTTCAGGGCCGGGAGAGGGGAGGACACACTGTCTTAGAGACCGAGGCTCACTGTATTTAGGATGCCTGGACTCACTGGTGAGGATGATGGTCCACAATCAGGAACCAGGATGGGGAGGCCTGGACCCAAATTTGAGACACATTCTTCTTAGAATTTTTTCATTATCAGTAAAATTTACCTGATACTTATGGAAGATACCAGGCCAGATGCTGTGTGATTAAGAAAAAATAAGTCTTGTCCTTAGGTAACATAATCTATCTTGGAAATTAATGCATTTTTTAAGAAAAGTATACTAGCCTGGCTGGTGTGGCACAGTGGATTAAAAAAATTTTTTTTTATTCTCACCAGAGGACATTTTTGCATTTATTTTCAGATAGAGCGGGAGGGAGAGAGTGGGGAGAGAGAGAGAGAGAAACATCAGTGTGAGAGAGACGCAGTGAGTGGCCAGGGCTGGGGACAAACTGCAACCGAGGTACATGCCCTTAGTGGGAACCGAACCCAGGACTCTTTGGTCCACAGGCCGACGTTCTAACCACTGAGCAAAACTGGCCAGGGCTGGCACAGTGGACTGAGTGTCATCCCATGGACTAAGAGGTCCTGGTTCAATTCCCGGTTGGGGCACATGCCCAGGTTTCGGGCTTGATCCCCAGTGGGGAGAGTGCAGGAGGCAGCCGATTGATGTTTCTCTTTCACATTGATGTTTCGCTCTCTAAAAAAATTATAAAAATAAAATAAAAAAACTCCACCATATTTTAAAAATAAAAATAAATAAAGATAAGTATTCTATACCTTAATGTCTATCAAATGCTGAGTGAGGGAGACAGGAAATCGGAGCAGAGCAAAGGCACATCTGCAATGGGAAGGAAGAACAATTTCATGGGAGATGTGTGTTTTGAGTCAGGCTCTGAAGAATGGGTAAGATTGTATAAAAGTGTAAGAGAGTATTTTAATAGGGAACATAGTGTGAAGAAGTAGGAAAACATTGATTTAGCTCAGAAAACAGTAATGTAGTGTCTTTGCAGTATAAGATTAGTGTATGGGACAGTAGGGAAATGTTTAGGAAATGCAGGTTGGTGTTGGGAGAGGCTTACATTCTGAACTAAGGAGTATAGAAACTTTAGAATGCATGAGTTGCATGAGTCACCTGGAGGGCTTGTTAAAACACTCCCCCCAGCCCCCACTCCCACCCCCGGTTTCTGACTCAGTAGGTCTGGGATGGGTCCAGCAACTTGCATTTGTAAGAAGTTGCCAGGTGATGCTGATGCTGGTTTGAGGACTACTCTTGGAGACCCACTGATCTAGGTCATGGAGAATTTAAGATCCATGAAAGATTTAAAAAAATATTTTCACTTGTTTAACACTAGTTTGGATACATTACCTCACTCTGAGGTATTTAGCCATGATTAATTAAATAGACTATCTTGTCTTTGTAATAATAACATTTTTTTTCTTTGAAAGAGCTAAGACCATTTTCTTAATGTGTAAAAGATCTGGAGCTTTTTGAGTTTGGCCCAACTCCTTTCTAACCTGGGTTCAGATGGGAATGCAGAGCAGAAAGTAGGGACAGTCCTATGCCTGTGCCCCCCACTCCCTCGACTCCAGGCCTGGTTCAGGGCTTTGCCGGGTAAAGGTGCAAATTGAGGAGTGCAGGGTTGGTGTGGGGTGCAGTCGGGGAAGCTGAGATGGGACAGGGTAAAGGAGAGGTAACTACTTTCAAGCTTTTTTATATCCCCAGCTAGGTTTCCTATGTAAATTTTATTGATTAATAATTGTAGGTGTTTTAGATATATGTGGAGATTTCTGACTTTCTGGTTTCATGTATAAGACACGAGATATCTGTTTACAGTGAAAAGTAATTTTCTGTTTTCACCCAATGTCAGATTATAGTAGTGATTATTATAAATAAATCCCACTCTTTTTATGAGCATGGTTAATAAGCTTGCATACTTCTAGATAAGGTGGGTCAGAATGTAATGGACCAAAAATGGCATCTGTGTTTATTGCTTAGCTCCACTTGTTATCAAAAGTAAATGAACGACAGAAATGGGTATATTTTTTAAAAGGAATCTTGAAATTTGTACAAGTAATTTAAACAATTTTTAGGGTTTTATTTATTTGTTTTCAGATACTGTTGATAGAGCAAAGATATAATAAGAGACTTAAGTCTTTTAATATGAGAGCACAAGGTTTTTTTGTTTTTTAATTTTTATTTTGTGTGCATTACTTCCTGTCTTATTCTTCATACTGGTGTTTTTGTCCCTTCAGCTTTCTCATGGAACATACAGCCTGATGTAATCCTTACAGCCTGGGTCAGTCAGAGGGAGTGTCAGCATCTCCATTTCCTTGAGATATTAACATACAAACAAGCAAATAATAGCTGCCTATAACCCACAACCAAGTTTTTGGCCTCAGATAATAATTCCAGGTAGAATAATTCTGGGAAATAATTCTTAAACTACAGTTTTCCTTAAAATCCCTTCTATTTGCTCAACTTGCATAGGATCAAAAATCTGGCTCCATTAGTTAATCATGATGTAGCCCAAGTTTTAGCTAATAGATTCATTCCTTTACTGATTCTGCTTTTAGATTTATTTTTTTCTCTTTAAAAATTTTATTGAATATGGTCTTTATTTCTACTGCTGAGTATACAATTTCTTCCAAAAATAGGACAAGGACAAATACCAGTTTGGTAAGACAAAGATCTTTTTCCGTGCTGGTCAAGTGGCCTATCTAGAAAAATTGAGGGCAGACAAGCTGAGGGCTGCCTGCATTCGGATCCAGAAGACAATCCGAGGGTGGCTGCTGCGGAAGAAGTACCTGCGCATGCGGAAGGCGGCCATTACTGTGCAGAGATATGTGCGAGGCTACCAGGCCCGATGGTAGGTCTCCTGGGGACCTATCCACTCTGGCTCACGGCTTCTGCGATTACACAGCTCATCTGATTCACTGTCCAAACCAGGAGAGTTTAGAGTGGTCACCCTACATGAGAAGGCAACACCTTACCTCTTTTCAGACTCAAAGAGTAACAAGTTAACTCAAAAGTTAAATAGAATAAAATTTCACTCACGCTTATGAATTATTGAGATTCAGCCTCAAAATAATTACAAAATAGTGCATGCTCATGTCCTTAGTATCTCTTATTTTTTATACTTTTATATGGGCGTGAAGAAATCTGTAATCTAAAACATTCCTGAATATGACGTAGTTAATAATGACTCTGCTGAAAAGTTTTCAGGAGCAATAAACTGTGAAGGTCTTTCTAGAATTATACTTCAGTGTGAGTGCATATTAGGATAATTTTAATTTAGAAATATCAGTAGAAATGAATTAATGATAAAGAATTTATGCCCAAACAGAAAGCGTGAAAAATATTGTATATTAACAATATATAGATCTAAAAAACTGGTGATGAATAAGCAAAACCTAGGTATAACCAACTAATTTGGGCGAAGGGGTGTCCATTAAAGCTGCAAATCTGTTATATAATAAAGTAGGTTTTCCAAATGTGTATGTTAACAAATCAACAATTAGTTTACCAGTTTTTATTTATGTAGACACATTTGTGTAATTAAAATTATGTATGAAAACTTTAATTTCACAGAAAAGTTTTCTATATGTATTACAGTAATTTTAATAATTTTATATGGAACGGATCTAGTAAATGCGTGCATTTGCCAGTCACACGAGTAAACAAATGCACAAGGCTGAGGTGTGCCATACTGCACGTTGGAACATCGGCCAGCTCGAGTTAAAACTGCTGCAGAAAACCATGCCACATGATAGCAGAACCAGTTACTGCATATAATGTGGTATGATCACATGCTAATCATTTGCTGAACATTGTTTGCAAGCAGTGATTCTTGGATTTAAATATGTAGACTATAGTTATAGATATGTAATATGTATTTATGTTGGCGAAATCACTGTTTTTTCCAACATATGGCCTATTTGCTAAAATTTGTTTAAAATAACAATGAATCAATAACAAAAAAAATAACCTGTTAATCTAATTATAAGCAAAACTTGGTTAAAAGCATTTTAAAATGAACAGGGTGTTAATTTTCACGTGACACACAGACTGGAAATTTTGTCCCATTAAATCCAAAGTCCATTAAATCGAGGTCTGCAAAATCGAGGGTTTACTGTATGAGATTACTGTTTACAGTTGGTCTGTTATGCAAGGGGCAAATAGCCTGGGGTAATGAGCACTGTCCTAGAAGGAATGAACCTGTATGAGTTTCACTTTCTTTATTGTAAAATCAGGTAATATGGGATATACTAATCTGCAGGGTTGGTAAGGCTTGAATAAGATAATGAATGTAAAAATATTTGGGGAACTATAAATTGCTATACAAAGAAATATGAATGTTGATTTAGTACTGTGTATTATTAAAATAATACAATGGAGGTACTACTTATGCTGAAGATACTGGTTCTTTTAAGTCTCTACAAAATATATTTCTGGGTTTTTCTGATTACTAATGAATGCACTGCTGCTTTCTTTGGCCAGCTATGCTAAGTTCCTGCGCAGAACCAAGGCAGCAACCATCATTCAGAAGTACTGGCGCATGTATGTAGTCCACAGGAAGTACAAAATTAAACGAGCTGCCACTATTGTTCTTCAGTCTTATTTGCGAGGCTACTTGGCCAGAAATAGGTATCGCAAGGTGCGTCATTATTTTCACTTTGTTTATTCATTCCATTAATGTTAGTCAACTCCACGTTTGTACTGTTACCATAGAGGTTCCTGTGGATGTAGGTGCCATAAGGAGACTACCAACAATTGAAATATGTTTTAAAATATTAAATAAGTATATATATGTAATTAATATAACAATGGAAAAAGAAAATATACCTTCTTTTCTCCCCTTGTCTATGTAATTGGAATATAAGTTAGTATATTAGTTTCTTGTGGTTGCTATAATAAATTAGCACCAACTTGGTGGTTTAAAACAATAGAAATTTATTCTCTCATAGTTCTGGAGGTCAAAAATCCAAAATCACTATCACTGGGCCAAAACCAAGGTGTTTGTAGGGCTGCACTCCCTCCAGAAGCTCTAGGGGAGAATCTGTTACTTGCCTCTGTCAACTTCTAATGGCTACTAGTATTTCTTGTGTTTGTGGCCACATCACTCCAGTCTCTGCCTTCATCTTCACATCATCATCTCCTCTGTGTGTGTCTAACTTTGCTTCTTTTGTCTGTCTCTTATGAGAATATTTATGATGGATTTAGGACCCACCAGGATAATTCAGTACAGTCCCCTCATCTCAAGATTTTTAACTTAATCACATCTGCAAAGACCCTTTTCCCAAACAAGGTAACATTTACGGATTCCAGAGATTAGGGTCTGATATCTTTGGGGGCCTCTATTTAACTCACTGTGGTGAGCTTTGAATAGGTAGAATATATGACTTATGGATAGAAGATTGTTCCAAGAATGAAATTACCTTGGAATACTTTACTTTGGTGAAAAGGTGATACAAGTTTAACCACATTAATGTTATTTATTGACTGGAATATGATGCTCTGAACATTTTTGACAAATAATCTTTATATCTGGCAATAATCAACATGACTGTAGGTAATGGACCACCCGATTAATCTTTTTTTTTTTCATCCTCACCCGAGGACATTTTTGCATTTATCTTCTGATAGAACAAGAGGAAGAGAGGGAGGAAGAGAGAGAAACATTGATGTGAAAGAGACACATCAAGTGGTTGCCACCCATATGACCCCCACTGGGGCTGAGGACAAACTGCAACTGAGATACGTGCCCTTAGCAGGAACCGAACCTGGGACTCCCTGGTCCACGGGCTGACGCTCTAACTGCTGAGCCAAACTGGCCAGGGCCACCAGATTAATCTTAATCATCACCTCTGACAACATGATCTAGTTGAAAGGTTTTTCTCTTTCATTTTGGCAAGGTTTTGAGTCTGTCCTTTATGATATATTCCTAATAATCCAGAAGTACAGTCTGGATCTTAAAATCCAGCTCTGTGGGCATGCCCACTGTTAGAAGGAGCATCAGTAGAGTGATTTAAGGGACATGCCTCTATCACAGGAAGTCTGTGAGGGTGACCTAGGCCCTATTCATGTATGTACTTTACTTTTTTATTTTGAAGTAATTTTAGACAACAAAGAAAAATGAAAAACTAAAGAGACTTGAATGAGCATATTTAATAGTTGTGTTTTGAAGAAAATTTGAAGATAGCTACTCCAGGTCTTTTTTTCTGCCCATGCAGGGTTTATACTCTGGTGTTCTTTCGCTACAAGCATGAGCTTTCAGGGGAAGGAAAAGCCTTACTACACTTGGTCTTTTAGATACACCAAACTGTTACACTTCTGTTTTCTTCACTGCTCTCCTCAGGAACATCTGAACTGGGTTTTGAGGTCATTGGTTGAACAGTAGCAGTCTCTGGCCAGCTCAGCTCCAAATGTGACAACACAGTGGGGGTGGCAGAGTAGAGGCCAGTAATGCACCATTAGTGCTCCTTCTTGCCATGCTTCTGGTGTTTCCAGTCCAAGCTTTCCCTGCATGGGGCTTGGGAGCCTAAGGGAGAGTAGGTATTGTTTAATTTCTCTAACTCATTAATGGAAATGAGATTGAGAATGGAAGATCTAATTATATACTATTTCCATTTGACTGAAATTACAGAAATGGACCAAAGGAAATGGAATAGAAAAATTGACATTAATAGCTTTGCCACTATGTGCTGCTTGACTTTGAAAGTCTGAAAGCCTTCAATTTGCCATTACCGAGTCTTATCCAGTTAGTTGCTAGTCATCTGGATAAGACGGGGCTCCCTCCGAATCATGATGTTCAGGGAAAACTCAGGATGTGACCTCACTGCAGTGTGATGTGCAGTGACTGCACTTTGGAAAATAAAGACTGTGTAACATTAGGTAGACAGCCAAAAGAAGCACCCTTGACTTGGCAAAGATACTATTAAGGTCTACTGAACGCCTGATTATTTTGTATTTTGTTTAATACTTAACTACTTATTTCTTAAATGTATCCTCTAGAATGGCACTTTTTTTTTTCTTTTCATTTTTTTCTCAGGTCCATAACCTAAAAATAGCAACTATTCTTTTAATGATTTTATTAAGCTGCTATCTATTTGATGTGTTTATTATTATTATTATTATTGATTTGTTTAGAGAGAGAGGAAGGGAGAGAGAGATAGAAGCATCGACGTGAGAGAAAAACATTGATTGGCTGCCTCCTGCATACCCCCTACTGGGGAGCCGGCCTACAACCTGGACGTGTGCCCTTACTGGGAATCGAACCAGAACCTCTCAGTCCATGAGATGACGCTCAATCCTCTGACACACACCTACCAAACATAAACTGCAATCTATTTGAATAAATGGTTTCTGAAATTTTTATGTTTAAAAAGGTTCATAAGAGATACATTGTGTCCATTTGTAATAATCACTAATAAGTACTCAAGTGCATACATTTAAATAGTATTTATATTGTACAAGAGTTATTTTATAAAATCACAGACTTAGAAGGACCTTAGAAGATTTTGACTGTTCAGCCTTTATTAATGTCAAGAATTTCTTCTCCATCATTTCTGGAAATTGTTTAGACAATCTATGCTTGATGGTCTTAGTGATAAGAAATTAATCTTATAAGGCAATCTTTTTTAAGTTTATTGGTTTAGAGAGATATCTTCTTATTTAGAAATTATAACAAAATCAAAATTAAGATTTGTTCACTACCCTTTATCTTACTTTTAGCTTTCCTTTTAAAGCTTTATTTGTACAACCTTTGATTCCCATAAGTGAATTCCAGTTACATTTGAAACAGCAATGGGAAATTCTCACTAGAATAGTATTCCTCAAATAGGGCAGCCAACAGTATCATTTTTTTGTTTCTGGAAAATAAATCAATAAATTGGTAATAAACTTTGGAGTACTCCGACTATTGCCCTCTGCAGCCAGCTTACTGGCCATCCTCATGTCCTTAGGCACAGACCTAATGTACAGTGAGACGGTATCAGCAATAAGCGTGGTGGCTAAATCTTTTATTTTAATAGTGTGCATTTCACAGGGTGCCATGTTCTGTTCATTTTATATAGGATCGCCTGTTGCTGGCAGATAGCATATACTAGTAGGACACCTAATTTTTTTTTTTTTAAGAATTGTTTGCCTTTTAGTAATCCAGTGCCTTTTATTTAGACAACTTCTACATGTATACTCTGTGTTTCTTAAATCACCCTGTAAAGTCTACTTTTAAATCACCTTTTAAAACAATTTTGTGCTTCCATATATTTGTGATATGTACAATCCACATAGTACATTGTTACTTCAACTTTTGTGTCTTTCCCTTAGTTAATATATGGCTTCTCAGCCTGATAGCCATAAGTTGATAGAGTTGAACCTTGAGTCTAGTGCAGGGTCTGACCTTACTTATACTTACCCTTCTTTGCAGATACGCTGTGAGCACAAAGCAGTCATCATTCAGAAGTGGGTCCGAGGCTGGCTGGCTCGCACCTACTATAAGAGGAGCATGCATGCCATCATCTACCTTCAGTGCTGCTTCCGGCGGATGATGGCCAAGCGCGAGCTGAAGAAGCTCAAGATTGAGGCCCGCTCCGTGGAGCGTTATAAGAAACTGCACATCGGCATGGAGAACAAGATCATGCAACTGCAGCGAAAAGTTGATGAGCAGGTGTGTTTTAAATAGGATCCCTGAAAGTTAGCATGCCTGGAGAAATCCACTGGGACTATGGTCAGCATTGTCTCCCTTTGATTTTTCCTTTCAGTCTTAGCAGAAAAGTAAAATAAGAATGACAGTAATGAGTGTGGCAATAGTGACAAGCTCGTAAGTAAGATTATCATTGCAAGGACTAAGGCAGGAAATTAATTTTGAGAACACAGTCAGATTTACTAGCACTCCAAACTTTTATGACCAAGAGCCACTGTGTACTTCATACTTCACAAAGCTTTTTCATCATTACCATTCATTTGCATGTAGTATAAATGTTCCTTTTGCAGGTGAGTTGTTTAACGTTGAGGTGTCAGGAGAATCAAGAAGATGCCCGTGCTTCTGAAAAATCTACAGCCTACTTGCAGAGATAAAAGTTTGATTTCTTAAAGATAGTTACTAAGTAATATTTTACCACATGCAAATGATATAAAGGTAATTGACATTACATAAATACTACAGAGGGCAAACAACCCTCAAAAAACAATGAAATAGGATTCATCAGAAAGGTTTTCTGAGTGTGAGGAGGAATTTTGAGGTAGTAACCAAAGAGATTTGTAAGAAATTTGTGATTTTGAAGCCATTTTATCACTTTATCCATCGCCTGGCTAGCACATGACTTTTAGTATACACAGTGATTTGTTTTCAAAAGCAGTTATAGATTTTCCTATTTCTGGATTAAGAACCAGGAATTTATGCTGGTAATTCACCTTATAGCTATGAGAAAAATCACATCTAGGTTGCACATCATGTAAAACAGAAATAATGTCTGTTCTCTTTTCTCTTTATATCACTAAGAGAGTATTGATTGTTACTATAAGTGTTGTGGTTAGACTTTTGGTTAATACTATAACATTATGATGATACAGCATGAATATGATGAATAAACCTGGTTTTCTCACTAAATACATTTGATGGTATGTTTGTGTGTGTTTAAAGAACAAAGACTACAAATGCCTCATGGAGAAATTGACTAATTTGGAAGGAATATACAACTCTGAGACTGAGAAACTACGAAGTGACTTAGAACGTCTTCAACTAAGTGAGGAAGAGGCTAAGGTTGCCACTGGACGGGTTCTCAGTCTACAGGAAGAAGTTGCTAAGCTCCGGAAAGACCTGGAACAAACTCAGTCAGAGAAAAAATCCATTGAAGAACGTGCAGATAGATACAAACAAGAAACTGAGCAGGTAGGAAGGCACTAATGTTTACAAACTTTTCACAGAGGAAATGTGTTGTCATCTTGACCTGGGCCCTGTGGCTCAATGTTGGTTTCAGTCAAAGCTGAAATACAGTTTTTATTATTAGTGTTTCCCACACATTTCTTCCACATGATGAGTCAGTGGCTGTATGTCTTTTGGGTAGAACCTTTTGACTCTAATGAGAACAGAGGAAAGCAATATTGTAAGAAGAGAATTAATGGCCATGTCTCTATTGTATATACTCTCTTTTTCTTTAAATTCTTAGGTCCGGCCCTGGCCGGTTTGGCTCAGCAGTTAGAGCGTTGGCCTGCGGTCCTGAGAGACCCGGGTTCGGTTCCCGCTAAGGGCGCGTACCTCGGTTGCAGTTTGTCCCCGGCCCTGGTCGGTTGTGTGGGTGGCAGCCACTCGATGTGTTCCTTTCACATCGATGTTTCTCTCTCTCTATCTGTTCCTCCCTCTCCCTCCCACTCTACCTGAACAAAAAATGGAAAAATGTCCTTGGGTGAGGATAAAAAAAAAAAATTCTTAGGTCTGGATGTTGTATAGACTCCTTTTCCTTGGATTAATGTGATTAAGAAGCAAATCAAACAATGAATTCTCAATAGCTGATACTTGGGAGCTTTATGGAAATGAATTAAGACTATGTTAAGTTCAAGGGAGAAATCCACATGTCTACACACTGATTGTAGCCAAGAGCTGCTATGCTAAACAAAAAATGAAGAAGAAAAAATCTTTACAGATTGACCAATGTTTCCACACTACAAATTTGTGTTAACTTATGTCAAAACTTTACTAAATACAGAAAACATTAAGGTTCTCAAGCAGTAATGAGATGCATTGTTTAAACAAAATAAAAGTACCTCAACATAAAGCTTACTGGGAAAAAAAGGTATTTTTCAGAGATTACACTAGTGTAATCATCGTTAAGTGAAAACAGAGTTGACTGTGTTGGTTGTAACTATGAGCAAGAATCCTGATCTGCTGTTTCTGTGCCGACTTCTGCATGTTCACTGTAGCATGTGGGGTGAGAAGCTCAGAAGGAGCTTAGATGCAGTTCAAGTAGGATAGTGCACCTAATAAAATTGCAATCCTCCCCTGGTATTCAGGGTCTCAATAAAATAATTCCTTCTATATCTCTAGCAGATCTGGGCTCTGTGTTATGGAAACAGCAGTGCCCTTAATATGTGTTATTTGACATGGCAAGTTTGTTCTGTCAAAATCAAAATATGCATTCAAAGAAATACTCTTGAGATTTAAGATCTTTCTTTTTGTCATTTTCTGATTTCACAGAAGCTTTTCAGATTCTTCTGAATCTATAAAGTTTATGATTAGTAGGAAAATTTTCTTTTCCTCCTCAAAGTCGAGCTCAAACCTTTCTAGTCTGGTAGAATAGTACACATGAGCATATACAGATTTCTCTTTTCTTTTTTTATTATCTTCTGCTTTTCATAGGCTAGCTACAGGTACTATCACTAATTCTTTTGGGTGGAATGTAGTAATGGGAAGAATTAAAAATTTTCATTGTGACAGCCAGCTTTATGATCAGGAACACTACATTTCCAATCAGCCAAGGAACCTAGAAGGTACACTAGAACTGTGGTTCTTAACCAGGAGTCTGTATGAGAATCTACTGGAGAGTTTTGTGTGTGTGTGTTCTTTAGTAACTTTTCTTTATTGGTTTTAAAGGGAGAGGAAGAGGGAGAGGGACAGAGAAACACTGATGAGAGAGAACATTGATTGGCCACCTCCTACATGCCCCCCAGTGGGGATCGGCCCACAATCTGGGCATGTGTCCTGAGTGGGAATTGAACTGGCGACCTCTTGGTGCATGGATCTATGCTCAACCACTAAACCACACCGGCCAGGCTGGAGAGTTTTTTTTAAAGTTACCTGCCCAAGCTCTGGGAGTGTGGGCTAGGCATGTGTATTTTGAAAAAGCACACCACTAACAAAGAGCAACTTCTCTCAAAAGCAAAGGGAACTTGGGTTTTCTACTAAGAGCAGGTATTAAGGCCATGTCAGTGTGGAGGGAAGAGACTGGACCATCAGAAGCAACACCTTCTGGACTGACTTCTGCTGTGGCACAGTGTTACCTACTTCTCTGTCCTTCAGTGATCCTTCGTCACAGAGTGCTCGTTCTCTGCCTCTGAACTCCTGACACTTCTCTTTATTTTTAGCTATCACTTTTAGAGTTCCTTGAACTTAGCTTAGAGAAGAATCAGATTGCACTCATCACAAGTACACATTTTATTGCAGAGATAAACTGAGTAAATTATGAACTTTGCAAAGTTATCTTTGGTTCTGATTTTTGCATCCTAGGAATCCTTATCCAACTAGGAACTAGAAAGTTAAGGTAATGCTTTTTAAAAAATAAAATTGTGATTAAAATATACATAACAAAATTTACCATATAAACTATGTTTAGGTGTACAGCTCAGTAGGATTAAGTATATTCACTGTTGTAAGGTGAATGCTTAAACGTGGAATAAAAGGACTAGTTTACAACCTTGCAAAACTCTTAAAAGGAGATGAAAGGAAAATTCTTTTTTTCAAGACAGACAGCAGGTAGCTTCCGAAAATCTTTATTGAATTCCCAGAACCAAAATGCCCTTCGAATCTTTCTTAACCTCCTCAGTTTCTCTGTCTGAATCATGGGTACACATAGCTTTGTGGTAGGCTGTTGAGACGAAAATGCATAATCACTGCTATAAGAACAAATGCTTACAAGGTGCCAGGCAATTACTAAATGCTCAAGGTACAAAGTAAAACAACAGCAGCAGTCATCTTTGTCCTCCAGGAATTTCTAGTCTATTAGGGACGTAAAAGTCAATCATTTATAAAGGCTATAAAGAGGCATATACAGTGTCCTGTAGTAGCCCAGAGACATCTGTTTGGAGGGAGTTTCCAGGAAGGTTTTCTGGAACTGGTAGTGCTTGAACCAAATTTGAAAGATGACTACACATAACTAGGCAAAGAAATGAGGCACAGAGATGTGGAAGTAAGGAGTGACTGCTATGTGGTCTTTATACTTAGTATCTGGTTTGCTCTGTCTGTTATAGCCACCTCAGTTTATTGTTTCATTTTATAGGTGGTATCAATTCTGAAGGAAGAAAATACTTTGCTGAAGCAGGAAAAGGATACCCTCAATCACCTTATCGTGGAACAGGCTAAGGAGATGACAGGTAAGGCTCATGTGTGTTCCAAGTAATAAACAACCTTCCAAAGTTTTATAAGATACAACTTTTTCTTTTTTTATAATCCTCACCCAAAGACATGCTTAGAGAGCAGGGGGTGGGGTGGCCTGGGAGGGGAAGATCCGTTGCCTTCTGTATGTGCCCTGACCAGGGACCAAACCCGAAAGCCAGGTATGTGCCCTGACCAAGAATCTGTCCGACAACCTTTCGGTGCACAGGATGATGCTCCAACCAACTGAGCCACTCCATAAGGGCTAGAAGATACAACTTTGCTTAGAGCTTAAATATTTTAAAAAGTTGAGGCTGTTGACTGTCATCAGTAAATTTTAAAAGTTCTGAGAGGCAAGTGCTCTAAATATTTTGGTTGAATCAGTTGGTGAACTTATAAATCTGGTCTGTGTACAAAAGTGAACTCGTTGTCGGCCTGCGGTCCTGAGACACCTGGGTTCGGTTCCCGCTAAGGGCGCGTACCTCGGTTGCAGTTTGTCCCCGGCCCTGGTTGGGTCGTGTGGGTGGCAGCCACTCGATGTGTTCCTTTCGCATCGATGTTTCTCTCTCTCTCTCTCTCTGTTCCTCTCTCTCCCTCCCACTCTACCTGTACAAAAAATGGAAAAATGTCCTCGGGTGAGGATAAAAAAAAAAAAAAGTGAACTCGTGTAGTCAATATCATATGTAGTTAAAAATACTAATTGTTCTGCCCGATTCATGTGGCTCAGTGGATTGAGCTTCGTCCCATGGACTGAGAGGTCCTGGTTCGATTCCCATCAGGGCACATGTCTAGGTTGTGGGCTCAATCCCTAGTAGGGGGTGTGTAGGAGGCGGCCAGTCAAGGTTTCTCTTTCACATTAATGTTTCTCTCTCTAAAAAAAAAAAAAATCAGTAAAAACATATGTAAAAAAATATTAATTGTTCTTCATGTATGATTTATCAGTTATGGCTTAAAGGATTGCTGTTGATTTAGGAACAATTCTTTCCTTTTTTTAAATTTAATTTTATTTTTTCTGTCATCATGTATCTTTTCCATGCCCTCTTTGACCTCTACCTACCCCCTGCCACTCGCAATCACCACATTGTTGTCCATGTCCATGAGTTCTTTCTTTTATTTTCTTTTTTGTCAATCCCTTCATCACCCCAAACACCACCCCCCCTCCGACCCATAGCTGTCTGCTTGCTCTCTATCTATGAGTCTGTTTCTATTTTGCTTGGTAGTTCAGGTTGTTCATTACATTGAGCATATGAGTGAAACCATATGGTATTTGTTTTTCTACTACTGGCTTATTTTACGTAGCATAATGTTCTCTGGGTCCATCCATCCTGTTGCAAAGGGTAAAATTTTCTTCCTTTTACGGTAGAGTAGTATTCCATTGTATAAATGTACCATGGCTGTTTTATCCACTCATTTACTGATGGACACAGGCTGCTTCCAAATCTTGGCTATTGTAAATAGTGCTGCAATACACATAGGGGTGCATATATTCTTTCTGATTGGTGTTTCAGGTTTCTTCGGATAAATTCCCAGAAATGGAATCAGTGGGTCATATGGCAGTTCCATTTTAAATTTTTTGAGGTAATTCAGTACTGCTTTCCACAGTGGCTGCACCAATCTGCATTCCTACCAACAGTGCACAAGGATTCTCTATTCTCTACATCCGGGCCAATACTTGTTGTTTGTTGATTTATTGATTATAGCCGTTCTGACAGGTGTGAGGTGATACCTCATTGTGGTTTTAATTTGCATTACTCTGATGATTAGTGACATTGAACATCTTTTTATATGTCTGTTGGCCATCTGTATGTCCTCTTTGGAGAAGAATCTATTCAGGCCCTTTGTCCATTTTTTTAAATTGGATTGTTTGTATTTTGGGGTGTTAAGTTTTATAAGTTCTTTATACATTTTGGATATTAACCCCTTATCTGATGTATCTTTAGTGAATATGTTCTCTCACTCAATGGGCTATCTTTTCATTTTGTTGATGGTTTCTTTTTGCTGTGCAAAAACTCTTTAGTTTAATGTAGGCCCATTTGTTTATTTTTTCTGTTGTTTCCTTTGCCTGAGGAGATATATGAGAAAAAATAACTGCTATGAGAAATGTCTTGAGATTTTACTGCCTATATTTTCTTCTAGGATTTTTATGGTTTCAAGTCTAACATTTAAGTCTTTAATCCATTTTCAGTTTATTCTTGTGTGCGGTGTAAGAAAGTGGTCTAGTTTCATTTTTTTGCACATATCTATCCAATTTTCCTACTCCATTTATTGAATAGACTATCTTTAGTACATTGTATGTTTTTGCCTTAGGAAGAATTCTTAAACTAATATATATATATAATAAATATATATATTTATTATTTTTTTAATTTACTTTTTATTAAACCAATGGATATTACTCTCCCAAGATCAACCACTCTTTGCCATCAAACGAACAAAAATCCCATTGATATGCCCTGGCCTTGTGGCTGAGTGGTTAAAACGTCAACCCATGCGCACCAAAGGGACATGGGTTTGATTCCCAGTCAAGGGTGTGTACCTTGGTTGTGCAGATTTGATCCCTGGCCCTGGTTGGGGCACATGCCACATGGCAACTAATCAATGTGTCTGTCACACATTGATGTTTGTCTCTGTCTCTCTCTTTTCCTTCTTCCCACTGTCTCTAAATATCAATGGAAAAAATATCCTCAGGTGAGGGTGAGGATTAACCAAAAAAAAAAAAAAAGCCCATTGATTTTTTTTAAATAGAGGACTAACTAGATGTAAATATTCTATTTGCTTTTTGTGAGAAAGATTAGTAAGAAATCCATATATTCATAAACATGGGATAAGAAGATACAGATCTAAACTGCAGTAATTGATGATGAAAATGGAAAGAGACGGATTGGAATGAGGATATATATTTTTGTTGTGGTATTCAAAAAAGAAATGAAACCATTCTAAAATTTTGGTATGAGATTTTGAAACAACAATGATATATTATCAGTGATGAGGAAATTGAGTGAGAAAAGTACCTGTTTATGAGGAAAATTAATGAGATCACTTGTTGAAGTGTTAAATTTTGGTTGTCATCCAGGGCCTTCAGATAGAGATGTTCTAAAAGCAAGTTGAAATGAAAGATTAGAGAGAAAAAGAAATGAGCCTTAACGTACCCATCAAAGCTATGATGATAAAAGAGCTCTCTGTACTTGTCCCCACACTGTCCCCTTCCTCCCAAGGGAATAATGGAAAGGAAAGAGAAGAAAATCTGGAAGTAAGCCTTGTGAGATGACAATATGTATGGGGTAGGGTGAAGGGAAAAAAAGAGCCAGAAAAATAAAATTAAGAAGAAAAAGAGAAAACAAAACAGTTACTGAAGACATGGAAATAAGGCCGCTAGGATGCAAAATGTGATGGAAGGATTCAGAATGATGAGAATACTTCTAGGAGAAATAAAATGTTATTTGAAACTGAACAATAAGAACAAAGAAATGACATGGATTTACCTAGTGAAAATTTGTTGGTAGCTTTGAGCAGCTTCTGCAAACTGGTGGGAATAAAAGGCAATTTATAGAATGTTCCAGAGAGAAGAAGTTCTTTCATTTATTCATTTACAAATGATTATAGCATTATGTAGGGAAACACTCTGATGAGCACCTGGGAAGTGGTTGTGACGAGATTCTTGCAGCCCTTGCTGTCATGGAGCTGACAGAAAGAAATAGTGAAGCAATAGAAGCAGGCAGGGCAGATTAAGTTTTAGCCACAAAATATGAGGGTGAAGTCGAACAGAGTGATAGGAAGCTTAACATTTATAAATGTGATTGGTTGGCTTATTGAGTTAAAACAGACAGCTGAGATTTGAGGCTTGTTTATTTTGCTTTATCTGCAGCCAGGGGCTAATCTCCAATCTCCAGATACTGTTCTAGCCAAATGCAAGCCACTGGCAACAGAGAGGGTTAGCGTGGAGTGGGTATAGGGAGAGGTCAGGTTCCCCCAGCAGCATCCAGAGAAGTAACACAAATGACAGACATGGGGAGCTTATCTGGTTAGAAATGGGGACATAACAGGACAGCGGGGGAGTTCAGAGCGCTGGAAAATGTTACAGAGAACCTGGAGACTGAGACAAGCAGGCAGAGACTGGAGTATGAAAGCCAGGTCCACTGAGAAGCCTCCATTCCCTCAGGCTTGAGGCATATCTGACTTTTTTGACAGAGTACACTAATTTGGACAAAACAATTTATTAATAGCCTGAAACAGAATACAATTAGAATAAAAAATGTATACTTTTGTTACTAGACAATGACTAGTGGAAATTTATCAAGGATGTGCTATAATTAGGGTATGAACTAGTGGCACTAAGTCTGTAGTACCTGGAAGAACTCAGTAGATGATTAATATTATTATCAATAAATTATTTCTGGGTTTGGTCGGGATATTTTCTCTTTTTTGTTGTTGTTGATATTGGAGAGAGAAGGAAGGGGGAGAGAGAGAGAGATAGAAACATCAATTTGTTGTTCCACTTACTTATGCATTCATTGGTTGATTCTTGTGTGTGCCCTGACCAGAGAGCGACACTGACCAACTGAGCTACCCGGCCAGGACTTCTCTTTCCCTACATTGACTATGAAGATACTCTTCATAGATCATAGTGGTACTAAAAGTAAAACCCCTGTGGAGAAATGGGGGTCAGTATACATGTTTGTACTGTTATATTCTGTGGAGCCATCTTTGATATGCTTTTCTTTCTTTTCTTCAGAGACTATGGAGAAGAAGTTAGTAGAAGAAACGAAACAACTGGAACTTGATCTTAATGATGAAAGACTGAGATATCAGAACCTTCTGAATGAGTTTAGTCGCTTAGAAGAACGATATGATGACCTCAAGGAGGAGATGACTCTGATGGTGGTGGGTCAAACACTTTTTCTTTTTATTAATGAAAAATTTAAAATATATATAAAAGTAGATAGAATAGTAGAATGAACTTCATGTGTTCCGTGTACTTGTCACTCAATTCCAAAATCGTAAAACACTTCTCTACCCCTCCATCCCACCCCTTCCAATTGATTGGTTTATCTTAAAGCAAATCTCAGAAATCATATAACTTTATATATAAACACTATAAAAGTCAAACACTTTAAGACTGGACTGTAAGATAGTATAAAGTCAATATTGCTGGACTTTGTTTTACGCATTGAATGACTTAAAATTTGTGTAAAATTTGCATGTAAAGCAAATATTTATATAATTGAGTATTTTCTTCTACTGGTTTTTATTTTAATTTCAAAGATATATTCTTACACAGTAAAAATGAAATTCAGCTTCTATTTGTAATAAATGATCTATTTCAAGGATTCTTCTGCCTCTGCCAGTGTACCTTTTAATAGTTTTCCCTGTTCTACTTAACCTGCTATCAGGAAACAAAGAGATTTCTAGTTCTCTTGTTCCTTACAAGTATCAGCCTTAAAGGTAACCTCATGGTACAAATGACCATAAATGCTCTAAAGTATCTTTATTAAAAAAAATAGATAATTTGATATCTGTGGGGTTCAGTACTTGCTTCAATCTGGATCCTTTGACAAAAATCTTTGAAATGTGACATTAAAAAAGTTAAAATAAAAGAGCTTATGTAACAAAAGAAATGAAATAAATTTACCACCTTTAAAGAGGTTAAAAAGCTATTTTAAATTCCACAGTTGGACCATTTCAAACCTCACTACTCTACTATGTGATTTATATATGACAAAGAGAAATTAGAAGTAGGAATAGTTCACCGTTATCCTTGCAATGGACAAATTGGAAGGGCCCTCATTAATTCTTGTTTTCTTTGATCTCCCTTCTGTATTTGGCCCTGTGGAAATCTTTTTCTTTCACATTCTCTCATTCTCAGCTTTCTCTAGAGTACTTTTCCTCTGCCTTTCAACATCATGTTCCCCAGAGTTACATTCTTGAGTGTATTTCTATTCTATTTACTACATAACCACACCAACACTATGGTTAATCTATGCTTCAGTTATGGCTAGAGCAAGCTTTGTAGCCCACCATTTGTTTCAGAGGCCACTAGTTACTTGGGACATTAAGAAAATGGTCAGGGGGAGCCCAGCCGGTGTGGCTCAGTGGATTGAGCATTACCCCATGGACTGCGAGGTCCCGGTTCCATTCCCGGTCAGGACACATGCTCCAGTTTTAGGCTTAATCCCCAGTAGGAAGTGTGGAGAAGACAGCCAATTGATGTTTCTCTCTCACATCAATGTTTCTATCTCTCTCTCCCTTACTTTATTTCTAAAAAATCAACAAAAACATATTAAAGAAAATGGGGGGTGTGTGTGGAAAGGAGGGACATCTGTATTAAAAAAACAAAAGGCAGCACTAGGAAAAGAAATGATGAGATTAAATAAATGTAGGGCTCAACCAGCTTAAACAGAGACACAGATTTGTTTTTTTTCTACAGCATTTTTTGGATTCTTTACTAGTGTGTGCCTTGTGAACCTCAGAAAATAAAATGAGAGAATCATGTGCTATTTACATCACCCTTTGAGCACATTCCAGAGACATCTGTGTGGTTAATGGGTCTCCTTAGTCACAGACGCAGCCATCTCCAGGAAAGACCCCCCAGTAATTTCCATCCTCTAGCAATTTAACAGGGCTAGTCCTTCCTGCTGAGCAAGTCTCTGCCTGCTATTTATTTTGTTCCCAACAGTGCTGTGGAAAAAGAAAGCTGTAACCAATTTCCAGGGGTAGTTTAGCTGCTTGCTTTCTGATTTCTCAGCCTATTCCCCTCTCCATTGGATGACTGTGACTCATTGCCATTCCTCTTGGGTAACAAAATGGTCCGAGTAAGGGAAAGGGAAAACAAGAGGAAGGAACCCGAGGGATTGCTTTCTTCCTACTCAGCTCTTCATCAGGTCTCATTTCTTAGCTCCAGATGCAATCATGATCACAAACTTTACAGAAAATGTTCACTGAGAATAAAAAATTTGACTTTATAATTTAATACTAATTAAAATATTAATAGCAACATCTTATTTTAATGTTTAGATAGCACCTGGTAACTTACAGAGGGGTGCTTGGCTAATATTTCATTGACATTGTTTTGCAGATGAGTTACTCTCATAATGCTAATGAAGCATTTTGTAGTAAATAAGTTATCAGTGTGGAGACCTCCACATCCCTACCTGTTACTTGTGGGAGTGGGCTTCTTGCGATATCCCGAGAAAGGGAATTGCCCTGGCCGGTTTGTCTCAGCGGTTAGAGTGTTGGCCTGCGGTCCAGAGAGACCTGGGTTCGGTTCCCACTAAGGGCACGTACCTCGGTTGCAGTTTGTCCCTGGCCCTGGTTGGGTCGTGCAGGAGGCAGCCACTCGATGTGTCCCTTTCACGTCGATGTTTCTCTCTCTCTCTCTCTCTTCCTCTCTCTCCCTCCCACTCTATCTGAACAAAACATGGAAAAATGTCCTCGAATGAGGATTTAAAAAAAAAAGAATTTTCTGAGACTCACAAAGGAGGATGAAGTATTGTAGTAAGTTTTATTTCTGTGGAATTAAACCCCCAAGTTTCCTAGGTCCCATTTTGCCTTTGCCCTGCTACAGAAGAAGTATAGCTGTGGCTTCAGCAGAGCTAGAATCAGAGCCAGCGTCCAGAAATATTGCTCCATGTTGGAGCAGTGTCCAGTCCAGCATCAAGTTAGCTTAGTTTGTGCTCCTGTTGCAGTCCATCAGTCCATTGCATGTGGAGTCCACAGGGCCACATGGCTGTGGAGGAAACGCAAATACAAGAGAGCCACGAACCAAGCGAGTGAACTCCTTTGTTTGGGGGATTATGTATTCCCAAATTTTCAGGGCTTTCAATGGCTCTGCTTACTGTAGCCAATGACCTCTGTTCCCAGGTTTGACTGAAAGGCACCTTCCCCAGTCACCCCAGCTTCACTGCACATGCTTCTGTTTCCCCTTTTTCCATTCCCTTCCCCCAGTAATCTGCAGGGAATGGACCAGTGGTTCCCTGGGAGTGTGAAGTTGCAGTTTCCTGGTGAAGCTGTTCAAATGACATGCCTGTAATGTCTCGCCTCCTTTTGTTCCTTGCCCATTATTAATAACTAGCTAATTACAACGGTATCAAACAGACTCCTTAAATGGATGGTGGGGAAACTTAAGGGAGAGAAATTGATAGACTGCCTCAGGGCTTCCCTTAAGCAAAGATACTGCCACTGATTATCAGGGTCTGGATTTGTTTTCCCTGGCACCAAGAAGTATCATGGGATTTTCCCCAGAAACATTCAGCTGTAGAGCAGAAGCAAGTAAGGGCTAAGGAGTTGGAAGCCAACAGTAAAAGGATAATGAGGCAAGCAAATCCAGGCTTGTGAAGTGTTTGAAGATAAATTAATTCCAAGTAAGGAGGGAATCCAGCATGTCAACAATAAGTCATTAATCTTGACAAAGGAAGTAAAAACAGATTCAAGAAAAGAAGGAATTGTGGGAGAAATGACAGATAAGGAGAAGAGGAGGTGCTGCACACAGATCTTGTAGGGGAACATAATGATCAAGTCAGGTGTTTGTCCTTGTAACTGAATAGCATGTTGAATGAAAACAAAGTAATTCAAGAGAGTTGAATTACTGCAGGGTCCTAACAATTATAGCAGCATCAGTTACCATTAATTGAATGCTAAAAAAATCAGTGGAAAAATATCCTCAGTTGGATATTAACAAAAACAAGCAAACAAAAAAAAGTGACAGAAATTATAGTTACTTTGTGGAAATCCGCCCCCCCCCCCCCTTTTAAACTATGCCTAAACACAGCACAGTCAATAAAATGACTATGCTGTCATTAAACATATGAAATTTTTGGTAAGGCTTATTTGAATGTAACAATGAAGGCAGTATCGGGATGCCAAGGCATCATACCTGTGCTCCACCAGTGTGGGGGCTACTCACAATGAAGAAACCCAGAGGGTACTCTGCTAATAACCACAGATGATCTCATCTGAGCATTTGGTTTTGCCACTGTTCTTGTCATGCCTGCTGGTGCATCTCTCTTGTTCATTGAGAAGCTTAGAAGGTAACCTTTTTGTAAGAGTTTGGTCAGACAATATGGAATTGGCCATGAAAACAGCAAGTCAGTAAGTGGAGATGAAAACCAGTTTAAGGTGGATGGTATCTTAACTATACCAGGTTTAATTTGTTTTGTTGATTATACCCGGTTTGCCTTACAGAATGTACCTAAGCCTGGACACAAGAGAACAGACTCTACCCACAGCAGCAATGAATCTGAATACACTTTCAGCTCTGAAATTGCAGAAACTGAAGACATTCCATTGAGGACAGAGGTGCCGTTTGTTTTGTTTTTATTTATTAATTTTTATTGATTTTAGACAGAGGGAGAGAGAGAGAGAAACATTGATGTGAGAGAGAAATATCTGTTGGCTGCTTCCTGTACATGCCCCAACAGAGGATCGAACCTGATACCTGGGTATGTGCCCTGACCAAGAATGAAACCCGCCACCTTCTGGTATATGGGACAACATTCCAACCAACTGAGCCACACCAACCAGGGCGAGGACATTTTTAGACACCTGTCACAAAACGTAGGATACGATCATGCTATTGTTAACAGAACCTACACTTCCATTGCAGAGCAGACCCCATTTGTTCATAAATGTATCATTTGTTTTGAACTATTTATTCTTCATAAGTGACTTATAGATGCTTAATTAGAGCTATGTACATATATACTATGGCATATATTTTTGTCAATAGTCATTTTAATTTCTTTTTTTTAAACCTCACCCGAGGATATTTTTCCATCTATTTTCAGACAAAGTGGGAGGGGGTGAGGGAGAGAGAGAAACATTGATGAGAGAGAGAGAAACATGATGTGCGAGAGACACATCGACTGGTTGCCTCCCCCACGACCCCAACCAGGGCCGGGGACCAAACCACAACGAACCGCAACCAAGATACGTGCCCTCGACCGGACTCGAACCTGATGCCCTAACTGCTGAGCCAAATTGTCCAGGGTGACATTTTAATTTTTAATGTAATTTTGGTGATCAGATTTTCCCTTTTGTAATTCCCTTTTACACCTTAACGCTTTCTATGTATAAAAAATATAGCCTGTCGTGAATTTATTTCAGACTGAGGAAAATTATTTACTTATTTTATTTTATTTATTTATTTATTTTTATCCTCACCTGAGGACATTTTTCCATTTTTGGTTCAGACAGAGCAGGAGGGAGAGAGAGGAAGAGAGAGAGAGAGAGAGAAACATCGATGTGAAAGGGACACATCGAGTGGCTGCCACCCGTACAACCCAATCAGGTCCGAGGACAAACTGCAACTGACAAACTACGTGCCCTTAGCAGGAACCGAACCCGAGTCTCTCTGGACCACAGGCCAATGCTCTAACTGCTGAGCCAAACCGGCCAGGGCTGAGGAAAATTATTTAAAAAGTAAGCCCTTTGCCCTTGAATATTGTACATACCAATGCTGCCTCTGTTTGGTGCAGTTTTTAACAATGTAATTTTCTTCTACAAAAATACATGCAAGCCTGGCCAGTGTGGCTCAGTGGTTGAGCATCGACCCATGCACCAAGAGGTCACTGGTTTGATTCCTGGTCAGGGCACATGCCCAGGCTGTGGGCCAAATCCCCAGTGAGGGGTATGAAGGAGGCAGCCAGTTGATGTTCTCGCTCATCAGTATTTCTGTCTCTCTCTCCCTCTCCCTTTCTCTCTCTGTAAAAATCAATAAAGAAAAAAATTTTTTTTTAAATACATGCAAGATAGCGTATAATTCTGCTTTAGTGTTTTGTGTTATGTGGGTATAATACCGAAATGACATATTACTGTAACTCCAAGAGTACAGTGACTTTAAGTTAGATTGTTCCTAAACCAATTCTCAGCTCTTCTTTTCAAATATGGTATTAGTTTTAGTAATGGGTAATTCAGGCACATCTCTTCTATTTTTATATTATATTCTGAGAAAATGGCCAAGTCAGAAATAAATTGCTTCTGGCACAATAGCTGAAGAAAATGAAATTATTCTTTCCTTTCTTGTCTTAGTTTTCCTTAGGAATGAAAGGTTCCTGCCTTCTTGTCCTATTCGTTTAAAGAAAAATGTTACATAGTTGGGATGTCATATAGTTGGAATATACCCACAAGAAGGCTGTTACTTGTCCAGGGTAACAGCTTGTAAGTGGCAGAGCCAGTATTCCACCTGGGCCTTGTCTGTTTGGAGCTCAGTACTCCACCACCTCTCACCCAGAGACTGCACCAGTTCACCAGTCCATTTCCATCTGTAGCTGACATGAGGCTGGGGATCTCTTCAGCACTGTGGCCAGTATATAGCAGGATAGTGATTGTTCCAGATGTCACCAAACCATCTCAAACTTTAATGATTTCAAACAACAGCAATTTATTGTTACAATTCTTGGGTTTTGACTGGGCAGGTGGAGTCCCTGCATTCGGCTGGGGTGCCCAGGTTCTATTCCTTGGGCCTCACCATGTGGCTTTTTTCTTCAGCAGCATGGTGAGCAGGTTCTAAGAGAGTAACAGCAAAAAATACAAGGTCCAGAACTGGTACAGTGTCAGTTCTGCCACATTCTGTGGTCAAAGCAAATTATAAGACCAGCCTAGTTTCAAGGGAAGAGGAATAGACTCCATCTCCTGATGGGAGGAAAGGCATCTGTGTCGGGAGAAACCCTTGGTGGCCATCTTTGGATACTTCCACAGAGTTAGACTTGGAAGATTTCAAAATTACAACTTCTGAGCCTCCAGTGGCTATGAAAGAGTTAGGACCGCATCACATTGGTCTTAGTGGGAGTGCTAACATCACCGAGCAGCTCCTGCGCAGGAGGGGGAGGCCATGGGAGAAAGGGTGTGTTTGCTGCAAATTAATCTGTATTCAACTCAGGACAAAGAGGCCTGTTGTTCCTAATTTTGATTGAGGACATTACATTTTTAAACTAAAACACTCTTCTATGCTTAACCTCATTTTTACTAGTGCTGGCATTTGTCAGGGTCTCTACTCTAAGTTTTCTCCAAATTCTTACAGATTTGAGGGGAGGAGTAAATTTTTGTTTCTAATTCTCACCTGTTTTTTGATGAATCTTTTCTCAAGTTAAGAGATAGATTAAGCCCTGCCCAGTGGTTAGAGCATCAGCCCATGGACCAAAGGGTCACAGGTTTGATTCCCAGTCAAGGACACATACCTAATTTGCAGGTTTGATCCCCAGCCCGTTAGGGTTGTGCGGGAGGCAACCAATTGATGTGTCTCTCTCACATCAATGTTTTAGTTTTTGTTTTTTTTCTCTCTCTCCCTCCCTCCCTTCCACTTTCTCTAAAAAAATCAATGGAGTCTGGCCAGTGTGGCTCAGTGGTTGAGTGTCAACCCAGGCACCAAGAGGTCACTGGTTCAATTCCTGGTCAGGACACATGCCCAGGTGGGGGGCATGCAGGAGGCGGCCAATCAGTGTTCTCTCATCAATGTTTCTCTCTCTCTCTAAAATCAATAAAAGAAAAAAAATCAATGGAAAAATATCTTCAGGTGAGGATTAACAACAAAAAAAGAGAGAGATTAGAATGGGATTCAGTACATTTCTCATATCTTTTGAATAATGAAATATGACTTGTGCTCCAGAAATCACAGACAGATCTTGGAGGATTGTGTATTGTCCTTCACCTGCTCTGACCACCAGCAGTAGGTCACACACCCAGAAGTCTTCTCTCACTAATGGGAAGGCTTTTCGCTGGGCTAGTCATGCTTCTTCCTTGTGACTAAGTGCATGATCTGAAATGTGGCTGGCTTTGGTTAGGAGTGCCATGTATACCATGGACAGATTATAGTAACTGCCCTCCCTGGGACTGAGTCCATAACCTTAGCCTCAGTCTCTCTGACTTAGTTTCCTCATCTGTGAAGTGGTGATACTGTTACTATCTTACTCTTCAGAGTGATGTTTTGAAGATTAAATAAATTCATTCTTGTACTCTTGCAACAGTGTTTGATACTTAGTAATTGTTCAATAAATAAATGTTTTTGCTCTAATAAACAGTCTTTTATCAAACACCTTACAGTTCTGACTGGTCGTGGTCAGGATCAGAAAAATGGAAACCTATATAACTGTTAATAAAAAAAGAGAGATTGGGCCTGGCCAGGTGGCTCAGTTGATTGGAGCGTCATGTACACCAAAAGGTTGTGAGTCGGTTCCCATACCTAGGTTTTGGTTTCAGTCCCCAGTTGGGGCGCCTGGGGCAGGCAACTGATCGATGTTTCTCTCTCATATCAATGTTTCTCTCTCTCTTTTCCCGTCCCTCCCTTCTCCTTCCTCTCTCTCTAAAATCAGTAAGACATATCTTTAAGTGAGGATTAAAAAAAAGAGAGAGAGAGGGATTGAAGAAGGGAAGTTGGTCAGGAGAGAAATATCAGACTAAGACTATGGCTGTGCATTTGTACTTCTACTTTGTGTCTTCCAGATTTGCATTTCTTCCTGCAACTATCTATCTTTATAATGACCAGGTTTACAAATTACCCCTAACAAACTAAATGAAAACTTTCAACTCCTATGGGTAATACTGTCATGCACCTCTTTTAGAATCTGGTGCCAGGAAAATAATATGCCCTTTCTTGTTTATTCATTGATTTATTATTTTTAATTAAAATTGATAGAGATCTTCCAGGCTGTTTTGGAACACAGAATTCCAACCTCATTTATGTAATAACAGCAAAATTTGAAGTTAAAAAAAGAAAAGAATTAATGTCTTTCTAGCTTTGCCAACCTGTGAGTTGTTCACAAGTCACAGTGGCACCTCCATGGCTGTTTCTCTCTGGAGAACTCACCTGCCAGCTCCACTTGCTTTGCGGCCCTCCCACACTTCCAGCATTCATGGTCTGGAATTACGTTCTTTTGGAACCCTTGCTTTTTCATGCTGTGTCATGCACCTTTCTTGGTAGCCATTGACTAATGATCCCAGTTCTGCTTCTGCTCTCCAGCTTCCTCACAGCTGTCAAACCCAGGGAAGGGTCACCACACTTTCTCAGCCGTGGTTAGCGGTGTCTCTCAGGCCCGTGGTGGTAATCTTGTGAATGAATTCTGTTACCTTCCTGAGATGAGAGACTGTCGTTTTTTAGGTCAGTTTTAAAGTGTTACTCTCTTGGAAAAGCCCCAGTTGACAAATCCTTGCTAAGGAAGAAAAGCAACACAAAACCCCAGAAACTCCTCTGAGCCATATAGCCCAGTCTTCCTTCTTGCTCATGTGGCACAGAGAGGACAAGTGGTATCTCTTTAACTAGACATGTCTTTAGGGAGAAGACTGGGCACCATCCAGAGTACTTA